AGATGATGTCGGTGGAATTGTTGAGTCTGTCGGATCTGTCATCGAGATGTTCAAACTAAAAAAATCAACAATCTTAAGGGACTGTCTTCTAAGTTAAAAGTTACGTATCACAACACAAGAATTGGATACAGAATCAAGATCTGTTAGGATTCATTTTATTTGGATCTGGCCAACTCTACTGTTGGTGTTAAAGTTGATTAAAGGAAAGTTTATTAACAAAGATCGATTTATTAAATTACGTCAGATATCATTTATTAAAATTTAACTTGATCGGCAATCTAATAACTTTCTGCATTTAACTTTGAGCATACCATCTGGATAATCTCTTTCTCTCTATCTCAATATCAAATAGACAAGTAAGTTTATCATTTTACTCCAAGTTTGCATCTAAGCTTTCGTGTATTAGTGATAATCATTTTTCCTTACTCTTGTCGTGAATACTGTGAACATTATTACAAGTCATCAGTTGGCAAATTTTATCAAGTTAAGAATAAGATGTCTATTAAGTGATTTTTTGTTATATTTTGTCTTCGTGTTGTTTACTGTGAAAAATAGACTCTCAGCTGGAGGTTCAATAAAATTTTTAAAGTGTATTAGATTTCTGTGACATTTTTAAACCCAATATTGCCTGAGTTATACTTTTTCTTAATCTGTTCTATTTTTTCTTCAATTTTTCTCAAGATGAAAGTAGTCTTCATTCATCCTGATCTTGGTATTGGTGGAGCTGAAAGGCTCATCTTGGACTTGGGTAAGATTTGTCATGTAATCCATGTATTAAACTTGTAGCTAAAATGATTTCTTATGTTTTTCTGCTATTTTAGGATTATCGTTGAAAAGAGCTGGCCATAATGTTCATTATTTAACTGCACACCATGATCCTAATCACTGTTTTCCCGAAACTAAAGATGGAACTTTACAAGTTACCGAAGTTGCTGGTAGTTTACCATCTAATTTATTTGGTATATTTTTTGCTTTTTGTGCATACCTGCGGATGATTTTCATCGCGATATCTTTGGTTTTGAGGTCTAAATTTTCGCATCTGGTCGATTGTGATTTGATTATTGCTGATCAAGTATCAGCTCCAATTCCATTCATCAAGATGCTATATCATTGGCGTCAACAAAAACCCAAAATACTTTTTTACTGCCATTTTCCTGATTTACTCCAAACATCAAGAACGAACTGGTTTAAAAGATTGTATCGAGCTCCTCTCGATTGGTTTGAGGAAAAGACAACTGGAATGGCTGATTGTATTTTAGTCAACTCTCATTTCACGGCCTCCGTTTTTAGAGACACTTTTAAAAGTTTATCTCATGTAGAACTCGATGTTCTTTATCCAGTGTTTAAATTTTCAACTTTTGATAGACCAGTTAAAGATGTACTTTCTAAAGGTCTTCCCCGTTTACCTAACCAAATAACAACAATATTTCTCTCTTTGAACCGATACGAGAGGAAAAAACGAGTTGAACTTGCCATTGAAGCATTAGCTGATCTTAAAGATAAACTTTTTGGCCAAGCGAAACTGTATGGTACCACACATCTCATAATTGCTGGCGGTTATGATGAAAATCAACTACAAAATGTTGAATACCACCAAGAGCTCAAATTACGAGCTAAAGAGCTTGATGTAGAAGATGATGTCACATTTCTTAAATCACCTTCAGATGAAGATAAGCATTTACTATTACACAGTTGCACAGCTGTCCTCTATACCCCTGAAAATGAACATTTCGGAATTGTTCCATTAGAAGCAATGTACATGAGCAAACCAGTTATTGCATGTAATTCTGGTGGTCCATTGGAAACAATTAAAGACGGCGAAACTGGCTTTCTATGTAATCCAGATTCAGCAAGTTTCGCTGATAAAATGTATAAATTTGTAGTAGATAAAAGTCTAGCTCGAGAAATGGGTCGAGAAGGAAGAGAACATGTAAAGAAAAATTTTTCTATTCAACAATTTGACAAGAAATTGATAGGATTGGTCGATAAATTGGTTTCCAAATAAATTGATCAAATTTACCACATTAAAAATTATTTTCTTATTTAATTGTATTTAAATATTTATCCTTGCCACAACTATACATACACGAAATTAAATTACACAAACTGATCAATGAAAACCAGAGAAATTTGGTGAGATTTATTTCCATTCAAATTTTAATTTCATATGAAGCTCAATAAAATAGTCAAACAATTGAATTCGCATTTATGCTTACATAAATGTCAAAGCTAGTTTCAATAATTAAATCCAATAGAATAGTGAAATTTATTGAAACATTGAATCAGATAAAAGATTAGGACATCTATAATAACAAACATTAAGCTTGGGTTATTTTTTGTTTGACCAATGATCATTACATTGGATAGCGAGTAAATATGGAGTTGTTAGCAGTCCGATTTCATGAGACAATTTTTTGTGATCGAGATTGATGATGAGAATAACAAGCTTTTGAAAATGAATGCCGTCCAGTGGCTGTGTTCATGAGGAAATTTTTAAGCGTTGAATTGAGGGCTGATGTTATGCTATTAGCTGGTTTCGTTTCAAATGGATAACCTGCCAGTCTAGGTTCAATCTCTGTTTCTTTAGTAAACTTTTTCGCATGTCTATCGTGTGGGGATGAAAAAATGTGAGGAAGTGAACATCGTTTGCGATCATTAAGTGTTGGCCGTTCTTCCTGGAAGATCAATTGACTAGGATAGGTTTTCAATTTGATTAAATCCGACTTAACCTTGGAATCCTGCGGAAGAAGAAAAAACTATTAGAAGTTGATAAAAAACGAGAAAAAGAGGAACCACAAAATATTCCCGTAAATGTACAAGTTAATGATCAAGAAGCAAGGAAATGAAGAAGACATGGAAATGATAAAGTGACCGTCAAATTTGAAGGTTAACAACTGAAAGGTAGTCTTAATTTGTGTTTAAATAATGGACGTACAAGTTGAAGTAGATTAAACCAACGTGTAATTTGTTACCTTACAATGATTATAAAATAGCATCATGTAATGGAAACAAAAACTTGTACTTGTTGGTTTGTGACATTGAACTTGAAAAGCTGGTAAAAAAGCCTCAAATAACATATTTGAAAAGGCAGGGAGAAAATCATTGGAGCCTAATCATGAATATTATCGCTATTATCTTTCAGTGATAATATCAACAGTATAAGAAATACGAAAAGCGAATCAAACTAGATAACCTTGTTATTACATGAGATTCACTAAATATGTTTAGGATGCCTAATCGTTGTGGGGTGGGCTTTACAAAATGAGACAAAGACTCACATCAAACCAGATATGACTTAAGGCCTTCTCAACGGTCAACCTTTTCCTTGGCTTAACCTGGAGCAGGTTTTCAATAAGATCTTTGGCCTGGAAACTGATGGAATCCCAAGGATCGGGTGGATAAAGGAAAGCCGAGGCTTGATTCCTTTCATTAATTTCACTTTCCTCACTGAATGGAAAGGTTCCCGACAGGGAAACGTAAATGATTACACCCAATGACCACATGTCCAGTGAACGATTGTAAGACTTGTTTCGAAGTACTTCCGGAGCTAAATAAGCAGGAGTTCCGACAATGGTCCGAAGAAAAGTCTTTTCACCAATTATTCGAGCAAACCCAAAGTCACACAATTTAACCTAAACAGAAGAGAAATGAAAATAACAAAACAAAAAAACAGGTTAAAATATAATATTTAAATATTGCATTTGAATCAATCTTGTATTTTTCATTTACTTTTTTACAGATAAGGTAAATTGAACATTTTGTCAAGGATGAACTTACATGAGGATATTCATCGTCTGATGAGAGAAGTACATTTTCCGGTTTCAAGTCACAATGGACAATGTTCCTTGAATGGAGATATTTCAAGGCAATGAGTATCTGTAAAGGGTAAAACAATTAGTTGATCAATGTGATTCTCTGTTAACAAAATTCAACATTTTAATCAAGTTTCTCTCCATTTATTGACCAACAATTTTGCTGTTGTTGTTTAAAATTCAATTTTGACTCAACTTGATTAGCATGAATCCTTGAATAAGGATGATAATCCCATCAAATTATCTCTCTTTCAATGTTAATTAAGCAACGAAAATGTTCATTAAAATTTACCTAATCTTGTGCCCATTTATGTTTAACATTGGATTTAATTGAAACTCAAATTTGCTGGTTTAACCGATTGTTTCCTAAATGATGGTCAATGGGTTAACTTGCATATTATTACATTGAAACTGGTTTCACTTTCAACAGTCAATTAATAGTGTTTCAACGCCTTACCCTAAAGGGTTAACCAAGTAATCAACAAATTGTGATTTTTGTGGAGAGTTTATAAATTTGATTAAAATGACCTGGAAAAAAGTGACTGGTCAAACAAAGCAATTTGTTGGAAGCTTCTTCAATGGTTTCAAATGGTTAATAAATCAAGATGAATCAGGGTTAAAAGTGGAAAATGATTAAGTTAATTGTCAAAGGAAAAGATTGAAACCATAAAAAACACAAATCAGTGTTAATCTTAATGGTGAAACCTTGATTGTTTGGAGTAAACAAAGTTACTCATTGAACAGACTGTTTATGTTTATTTGATTGATTAGTTTCTTCATTCATCAACATTATTCAAATTGAATAAATTTAATTGAAAAGGATCTCCCGCTCCTTGAATTAAAGGTTAACACAATTAACCTTCATCAAGCAGATTCATGCAACTCATCTTACAATCAAGAATAAATTAGAAGAAACCATTTAAAGTAAATCACTTTTAAATTACACTAAAAGTAACATTTTTCACATCAAATATTCATTTTTTGCTTAACCAACATCACAAATGAAATATTAACTCAAACATAAACTGAAATAAATCTTAAAATATTGAATCTGTTTCAATGGACAAATGTTTAATACTTCAGGTTGACATCGTTTCAAATTATGGCTGAAAACCCTGAAATTTACTTGTTTTCAATAAAATCACTGCCTCAATCAAAACTGTTATCTGGTTAACAATCAAATTGTAAATTAAAGTCAACCAGTTAATTAAAGGTACAGTTATTGGTATATTATTTTCCGGTTATCATTGATAAAAGAGATAATCGTTTGAAAATTCATTGATTCGTGGCAAAGTTGAGTAAAGGCCTTCAAAATGTTACCAAAAAAATGATAAACTCGTTGGACCCTCAATTATGATTAACTTAAATTAACAATTTTCAATTATATTAGAGGTAAACCAAAGCTGAAAATAGTGGCAAAAAAAGGTTGACAGTGAAAACGCAGCGCTTAAACGTACCATTGTCAGTTAATTTCCGATTTTAAACAGTAATGCATATTAATTATCTATTTTTACCTGTTAATGTTTAAAATTATTTAACTCAAATCTTAATTTCTGTTGAATTTTAACTTAAACCTTGAAAATTGACAAAACACTAAAATATAAGCAATAAGCAAGTCTATCACTTTAGCTAAGTAAGTTGATTATTTTGCCATGATTAAGTTATGATTTATGAAATAAAAATAGACAATTAATGTTAAGATTGAGGAAAAGAGCGTTAAAAATTGAACAATTTGAGTGCATCAAAATTTAGCATTAATCTGACAAAACAGTCAATAAGAAGGAGGTTTGATGAGTTGATTGACATTTTGGGTAAAATTTCAAATTGTAAACAGTTTAAACATTTTAACCACTTTTGTGTAATTGATGAGTTAATCAGTCAATCAATTGCTTACAACATAATGATTGAAAATAAATCAATGAAAAATGTTTGCTTCTAAAAAAGAAAGCAAACTCAACTATTGAATAGCGATTTAAAAAGAAGCTCAATCTTACCTGGTAAATTAGGAACTTTGTTTTCCTCTCTGGAAGTCGCTTCATTTCAGATGATAAAATCATTCCCAACATGTCGCCCTGAAGTTTCTCCATGACAACAAATATTCTCTCTGGAGTTTCAAACATTTTCTCAAGATTAACAATTCCTGGATGTTTGATGGACTGTAAAATGGCAACTTCATTTTTCAATTGCTCTTCTTGTTTAGATGGAAAGCGAGTCTTGTCAATCACTTTGATGGCGATTTCACGACCAGATTTCCGATGGACACCTCCATAGACAGTTCCATATTGACCTGAACCCAGTATTTCATCAGGGAATATCTGGTATTGGTGACTGAGGTCATCTTTAGTTGAGGTTGAGTTGGTTAAATTGATGCAAACTGCTTGTTTAACCACCGGTTGAAATTCACCATTCATAAGGGCTTCTCTTAAAGCAGTTTCCCAAGCTCTTGAATTATCATCCGACTGTCCACAGAAAAGGTCGAAGTTAGAGGTTCTCAGTTCAAAACAATGATCATCCAAGTTGGACGGAATAATGGCAATTATCTCGGACAATGGAATCTCTCTGTAATATTTAACTGAATGATCATTAAGATACATGGTTAAAGATTTAGGGGTTAATCTCCAGAAATAACGTTTCTCCTGTAATGAGCAAAAATAGAGATTTCAATTGAAGTGAACATTAAAAAGACTGATTAATCTTGAACATACCCTTGGATCACGATCGGTATAATGGACCATCCAACCTTCTCGAAGTAAGCGAATACTTTTACGCCGAGAGTTTCTCATTCGTTGAATTAAGCTCATCAAAGGAAGGTGGCTTCTGTGTAAATTAGAGAAATGATTGAATTTAAAATGAACACAATTAGCATATTGTGATTGTTCACTTACGTTATGCTTTTTTTACGATTGGATTCACGGTGATTCTCATGGCAAACATCAAGTGTTTCTTCAGTTGTTTCATTTTCACTGTTTTTCTCCTTTTCTTCTTCCAGATGATCACAGAGATTGTTTGATGTTACTGTTAATGACAATGAAGACGATGATAGTGACGATGATGAGGATGAAGATGATTGTTGTTGGTGATTGAAAGGTTGAAAGTCATCAAGCACAGTTTCACCTGCAAATGTTGCATCCAAATCACTGTCTTTGTCGGGCAAATCAGTTAAATTATCTTCTTCTTCTTCTTCGGCTAAATCATCTTCATCTTCACTTGATTCAATCCTTAATTGCATCGAAAATGGAAAAAGAAGAAAAAAATTTGATCAAAATGTTGACAAAAAATGGTGAAAAATAAAACCCAAAACACTGAAAAAAGCTTGAGTTACATGAAAAAGGTTTGTGAAGTTGATTGGTTAAAATACAAAAATAAGCTCTGATTGTTGGATTATTTTGTTAACTTTAACTTTTTCCGTTAACTTTTCAAGTTTAAGGATAAATGAAATATTTCATGAACTACTGAACAATTAGGTAAAAAAAGAGTTGACTCTTCCTTTATCAAAAAAGAGCTTGAAACCTGAAAAGTAGATTTGGTAACAAATAATTAAGACTTCCTTAAGAGTTAAACGGAAAACGAGAAACTATAATTTGTTTCAATACAAACGTAAATACAGTTAAATTATAAATTACAATTTATAAATCATTCCAATACAATTTCCTGTTGTTCTGAATCTCAATTTTACCTTGTAACTAACCTTTAAGACTCACCAAACAAACAACAACAAATCAAACTTTTACCTTTTAACACTTTTCCATTAATCATCATCAAAAACTGAGTAAATCATCAAATGGCAATCTCAATCAATAACAATTCAAGAGCAACAATTATTTTTAACCGAAATGAACTTTTCCTTCAATATCTAAATATGTTGATCTAAATTGATCATTGAATTGATAATCAATTGAAAAGAGATGATCAACAATTGTTGTCAAGAAATACATTTTGAATGATTTGTGAATAAATTAAATATGATTGAAACTGTTTGAAATCAATGATTAGTGATTAAGTGTTACATTAACACAAAAACCCTTTAGGGTTGATTTCAATTAAAGGTTTACACTACATTTTACCATGTTTGTGTTAATGTATAAATTGTGTTGAAAATACTTAATCAAATTGAGTCTATCATCACATTTAATTGCTGTTAGCTGATTAACTCGGTTAGCAAGAGATTTATTTTCGTACTTTTTTCATATTCATTTCCAATGGCAAGTTGAGTGTAAATTCAATTTTTGTCATATTTTACCTTTTTTCCAATAGATTTAAAGTAATTACAATCAAATTGACAATTAACTACATCATGTCATGCAATTGAACAATTGTCGAGTTAAAATGAAAAGACTGAAAGACATTTACTTAAGTAAACTTTGACCATTAAGAGCAGGAAAAAGGTTGACTTTCATCACAATTTGCTAATTATTATGTTTAATTTAGTTAGTGAGACAACGTTTAAGCATTTACATGAAAGGTTTGCTCGTAAATCAACTTGAACTAAATTACATAGGTTTGATTGTTTCCCAAATAACTGGTATTTAAATGAAAAATCATTGGTTTTTCTCAAGGTTTTGTTGCCAAGGTTTTATAAACCCAAATGTCCGAAGCATTATTAATATAATAAAGTGAAATTATTTTCAACTTCCAATTGTGGATTGAATGACTAAGAAAGCAATTGAATAACATTGGATAATGCAGCAATCAAGTGATTGTTGTAACTGGAATGAGCTAATAATTTGAAGATTGAAAAAAAAGACTTATTTTGCCAGGTTATTAACTTGGATTAAAGTGAAGGTATGAATTGAAAACCTTGATTAACATTTACGGTAATCGGCAAAAAAATCACCAAGATGGTAAATTAATTGTTAAGAGCCTGTACTTGTCTCAATTGTATTTCAATGAAGGTTAGACAAGGTTTTACCATCGACAATGTACAGAGAAACGTCAATTAAACACGTAATTAACCTTTGTTGATGTGAAAATTGGCAGCAATTTAACATTGATAACTTCAATACAAAATTCAACTTGCAAGTCCTTAACCCAAACCCAATGTAAGTCTTGAGTTAACCAGTTTGGGGTAACAATAACATGATAATGTCTCTGGTAAGCTTTGGATCAAAAATAAAAGCTAATCATACGAATTGGAACTTAATTATTCATCAAATTCAAGAGTCAATCTGATTCTGATATATTGGTCATATTTATACAGTTAAATTGATCGATGTTGGATGAAATAATTGTTTGTTAAAATCAAATCTAAATTTAGACTCATCAAGAGATTTGAGAATCAAGTAAAACAATTAGAAAGGGAAAAAATGAATTTTTAAATTTCCATATTCGTCAAGAAACAATGAACCTGAACATTAATCAAGTGATAATTACAATTAGCTTAATCATTGTATAATTTATTAAACTGTTTTCACCTTCTCTCTTAATTTATCCAGCAATTAGCGTGATCATAACTCGCATTGACTCTGCCCCTTGCAATCAAAAATTATTTCCAATATTACCTCAAGATATGATCGCTATTTGTCGATATAAATAAATTGTCTGTTACAATTATGATGTTTAATATAAAAACAAGATTCTAACCTCGAGATAATTGATTGAGAAAACACTTTTACTATTATCATCATGGTTACCTGGTTTGTTTAGCTCACTCAACATGTTTTTACCTGTTGAACACTGTTCAATGGACAATGTTTTAATTTACCCAAATTTGAGTCAAGATCTGACAAGAAAAGCAAGTTAAGAGGATAACTTTTTTTATCTCAAGTCAATAATTTTACCTGATAATAGTAATACCTGGAAACCCTTATAATATGAAAGACACACCTTATTCAATACTCAAATGCCCTTACCCTGATAATCACATTATTACGTCTGATAATCATGGAAATCCCTGAAATAACGTTATTAAAGGATAATACTGGATAAGTAACCTTGGCTTATGTGAGTTTATTCAATTATCTTCATCATCACCATTATCATTGTGAGAATGCTTGTGATGATTATTGTTTCATGTTGAACTTTTTTTTCTGTTGGTTTAATCATTGATGGTAAAATTGGGGATTCTGAAAAGATTTCAATTTTTCTTTTTCGTTTCGGGTAAATTTGAAATGTCAAGCATTGATTAATCGTGTAATGTTTTATTGATGACATATGCCACTTCCGATAACAATTGAAAAAATAAATTGAAAAATAATTTCGATTGCAATTATTGTTGAACTTGAATTTTTATTCAATTTTACATCAAACCAGGAAACGGGTTTTCATTTGATTCAATTTCAATTACTTTTTGAAATTGAATGAATGCATGTTACATGACATTTTCATGTTAAATTGTCTTCACTTTAGACTTGACAATTATTTTCAACCATTTCTAGTTTCTAATTATTGGAAATTCATCTTTAAATATCTCGTGAATTCAAAAGCAAATTAACAACGAGATGTTGAAAGGTTTTAATGTCATAAATATGGTTCAGCAATCAACAGGCAATTAGATTAAAGAATTGCATGAAGACTTGTTCTTATTTCAGTTAGGTTGAGCTAAATTTTGGTGGTTGATTAACCTCTAAACGAGAAGATGTAAGCTTATTGCATTGGAACTGCCTGGAGTAAATAACCAACATATCAAAGACTATCAAAATTGTCAGAGAAAGCAAATTTTAAAAATAGTTCATCTCAACTAATCACTAGCCTGATTAATTACAATCCAACAATCCATAATTAACAGTAACACATATAAAAATATGTAAAACAAAGATAGCAAATGTAAATTAAATTCATCACAGATGATCACAAACGGTTGACAATACATCGACACATTGTGAGACATTTTTGCAAGAAATTTATGTTATTTGAACATATTTGTTGTTATAATTTGATTCAAGATTGAATAATCCTTTGGCTAGTAATTTGTTGCAATGGTGATTAGTTAAATGATAAGGATAATGTTAATGTGAAAATTGACATAGATTTGACTTACCTTAGGGTTTGCTGAAATTTTTCGTGGAGATTTGTCACACGATCATACATTTTCCAATTCAAGTGTCACGAGAGGTTAATTGATAACACAATTTAATAGCAATTCAATTTAAATCACAAAATAACTCTGTCAATAATAAAGTCAAACTACTCGTTTAACTTGTTGAGTTAAACTAACCTAGCAAATAGTAAATACCTAGCATCTACCATAAACGCCATCTGAAGGCGGTTCTATCTAATAACAAGGTTCCTGCAGTTAAAAAAACTGTTTAATTTAATGATGATGAAAATGTTATAATACAATAAGATGTTGATTGTTAAGGTCAGTGTGAACATTAAACTTGAAATCTGATGATCATTACTTCTATTATTTGTGGATAATGATCAATGATCACCGATATTATCAATGTCATTAATGGAAATTGGTTTGACGATTTCTCTATCTTTCTCCTCTTTCTCTCTTCCTATCCTGTTACTGTTATTGTCTTTTTAGTTAAGTGTCTCCAGTTTGATTTCTCGTTATTGTGATCAATTGTGGTGCTAATTTTATAATTAAGTGTTCAAGTGTTTACTTGCAGCTTAAACTGTTCACTATTGGGCTTGGACTGGCTGATAATTCTGAATTTAACCCGTTTTTGCTGTTACTTACATTGTTTGTTTACGTCTTTAAATGGTTCAAGCCGATTTTATACATAAGATATCTTATGTTTGTATTTTCTGGTTTTCTTTGGCTTCCTGGTTCCTTTTGAATTTGAGGCTGTTAGTTGATACTTGCTGATCAAAAGACTTTTCAAAATATTATATAAGTGATCAACTTTAATTGTGATTGAATAATTCAATGTTATTGTCCAAACTAACCATTATTTTCAATTATGCTTCTGTAATAACTTTGGATACTTTATCATGCATAATGATCAGTTGGGTTACCTAGAAGAGCATATGCAATGTTGCAAGGATCAACCATAATCAAGAATTTACTGGAAATAATTTAGCTAATTACACTAAATTAGTTTAGGTTTGGTTTTAAGGAAAAAAAGTAATTTCAACTACGAAAGATAAATGATTACCAAGCTGTAATTGTTGTCATTTAATATGACCATCAAATTTAAGGTCATTCGTCCTTTCTATTTCTATCTTTCCCTATTTACGGCTCCACTTTTTTCACTTCTTCCTGAAATGACCTTTAATTTAATTTCACTTTCAATTTCTTTCTTTCTTGAAAATGCGGAAATTAAATGCTAACCTTGATCAACTTTAGGTCAGTTGGAAAATAATTTCCGATTGTTTCTTCAATATCTTCATCATCATCATCATCAAACATTTAAAGAGCTGTTTTCAATGAAATTCTTGAAAGCTTAGCGTTTCAATTGGTCACTGAATTTCTCTTGTTCAAGCAATCTATTTTAATCTAATGTAACACAGCCTTTGAATTTCGTAGGCAAATCTATCAAAAGACAGCCAACCGATCTCATTAGTTTAATTGAAACCCAAAAAACTAAATTTCTTTGTTTTTATACGAAATAACAATTATTTATCTGGATAACATTATGTTAAATAACAGATGTAATCTTGTAATATAACCAGACTTTCAATGATAAAATGATTGCAGTTTACTGAACAAACAATTGAACCTGAAACCAGAGAAAAACCTGAATTATTCAAGGCTGAAAAATTTAGTTTTCTAATTTTATGAAAGTGAATTTTCTTCAACTGTCCATCCAAGTCCACTTGTTTTATGGACAGGTTTGACTTTCTGATTTGCTATCTTGACTTACACCCAAATTGACAAGTGAATATTAATCTAAGCAAATAATTTGGTTAACCTCTAAATATTGAAAGCCTATTCCTTTAAATGTGTCACATATACATCAATGAGCATCAACTGAATATAACTGTGATCTTATGAGAGTAAACTCCTATAAAAGTAATAAAACGATTATCAGGAATCAAAGTTACAAAGATAGACAATTAATTGAGAAACTTGTTAATTATAAATAATGAATGATGTTAAGTGTAAAAATCAGCAATTTATAATCATGTAAATATCAATGAGCAAATAATCAACTCTGGTTACCATTTATTGGTAACAAAGCTATTTAAGTGTACATGTATTACCATCGTAACCAATATAATGGTGTAAATAGATTGCAAAGTTGATATTAAAAAATATCAGAGTAAAATTGAAAATAGATTTGATCACTGGTTGGAGAAATTTATCCATATAAAGGATAAGTTCATACTAACAGGCAAAACCAACGACTTTTCTTGTAGTAGGGTTCACTAACTCTAACCTGTTGCCCTGTTCTCATTGGATTTGCTGCATCCTTCAATTTTTTCTCCATCTTTCTCTTTATATCTCTAGTCAAAGTGATGAAGGCTTCTTCAACGTTGATACTTGTTTTTGCACTGGTCTCCATGAATTTGATGCCATATTCAATGGCTAATTGTTCTCCTCTCTCCTTTGTAACTTGTCTTTTATCTTCAATGTCACATTTATTACCAAGGATCATTTTTTCCACATCTGAGGCAGCATGTTCTTCAATATTTCTAACCCAATTTTTGATGTTTTCAAATGATTTCTCATTTGTAACGTCATAGACAAGCATGATTCCCATGGCACCCCGGTAATATGCTGTGGTTATAGTTCTAAATCGTTCTTGACCAGCAGTATCCCATATTTGAAGTTTTATCTTTTTACCTTCCAATTCAATGGTACGTATCTTGAAATCAATGCCTGTTAAGAAAGAGAGATGATTGTAAGAGAAAAGGAGTAAGAAAGAGAGACAAGGTGGTAATGATGATCATCTTACCTATGGTTGATATGAAAGATTGATGGAATGCATCTTCCGAAAATCGGAATAATATACAGGTTTTACCAACCCCAGAGTCACCGATTAACAACAATTTAAACAAATAATCATAGGTTTTATTAGACATGATTAACAGTTGATTTGAAAACACTGATTCACTGGAATGATGAAGGTTTTGATGAGGGATTGGCTGTGAGAAATTGACACCTATCAGCTGTGTAGCTGACTAGCTGCCATAAGCCTTTCGGCTGAGCGGCGACTGGAGCAAAGATTTCAAGTTAAATATTGAAATCTAAAGAGTTTATTCAAAGAATCATCAACATTTTTCATGATAAATCCGAGTAAAACTAATGAATATATTAGACTAAACACGATAAATATTTTTGTTATAAAAATGTTAAAGTATGGTCAGATTAACAATTGATTATCGGCAGAGTGCAGGATCTTTAGCTAAATACGTGATAATTTTTAAAACAAATCAAGTTATAATTAGCAATTTGAAGTGAAATCGTATTATAAGTGAAACCAACAATATGGATTGGGGTATTGAGGGATAGAGCAAAGTGTCAGGTTCAGCAAGGCAAAGTTGATGAAGTGCATAACAGTTTTTTAATAATAATGATAATATTAATAATAGTAATAATAATAGTTAGAATTATAATTATATTAGCCATTAAAATCAACCAAGATAAATGTCAATTTTTTGTCTCGTTTTAAAATAAAAATTTGATATAATACATTTGAAGGTAAAGAGTCCAAGTTTTCCAAGGTTAGCCACAGCAATAGGGTCAAAGAGAATCAAACCAAGTAAATTATTCATTATTATAATATGTATTTCTGTGAAATGTTATTCATAATTTGTTTGTTGGGTTGTTGTTTTGTTTGCATATTGGAATGGTTTATTAATTTGTTTGTGTGTTTGATTGATTTTAAAATCTTGTTTTAAGTTTTAAATATATTATATTCTTTAGGAATCTCAGTAATCCATTTGATTTTATTGCGATTTTTTGATATCATGCAAGAAAATCACTATAAGACTTAACTTAAATCCATTTGAAGAAACAGTGGTAGCAGACGTAGTAGAAGTAGAAGTAGTAAAAGTAGTAGTAGCGTTGAAAGAAGACGAAGAAGATTTCGAAGATGTAGAATTTAAGGAAAAAGCTTCACAGATCAACAAAGAGATCAGGCATTTCGATGTAACAATAATTACCAGATAAAGGTCGCTTTATTTAAGAAGTTTTTGTGCTCTCTCATTAGCAGTTTGAATCCTAAGTTTATTAGAGTCGGCTTTCAGATTGATCCTTTCTAATTGAGCATTCTGTGAACCAATTTCTTGACCCATATCGATTGCCATATTCCGTAAATTACCAATCATAGTAGATACTCCTTGCATATTTTCTTCCATCTCATCTTCTCTAGCATCTTTGGTAATTCGAGCAATATATTGTCCTCCCATAGGTCCACCTCCATTTCTTTCATCCATTACTCTAGCTGGTTGACCAGCAATAACTTTACCATCTTCACTTGATTTCCACGTAGATTCATTCTCTTTAAATTCATTCTGCTTTTTACATGGACATGTACACAGTCCACAGCATTGTTCCATACCAGTCAAAGCTTTCTCAGCTTCCTTCATATCGGTATTTATTTTATCCATGTCTTCTTCAACACGATCCAATTGTTCACCTTGCTCATCCAGAGCAACCAATGTTCGTATACCGGCTTCTTTGCTGTCTTCACATAATGCAAGCATTCGACGAGTAGATTCCAGCGACTATAAAATAAAATCATGTTAATTATCATTTCTATGTCAAAAATTTCAACCATCTGAGTTAAAAGAGACTTGAAAACTAATAAAATAACAACAAACCTCATCAGTAATAGACTGTGCTTGCATATGCAGCCTTTCAGCTTCTGTTTTTGGTGCAGCCACCGGTGGAGGTTCCTCAATTGGAGCAGGCATTTTGATTAGATTTTAAAGTTTTATAAAAAAAATAAATTAAAAGTTGGTTTTAATTGAACTGGTTCTAAAATAGAATATGTTAGCACTTAAAACAACACAAAAAACTGGGAAAAGACATTTATTTTACTTCGCTGATGTTTAATTCAGTCTTTTTAGCCTCTTTCCTTTCCAAGTCAAAGGCTGAGTAGGCGTTAACTCGATTGCCCTGATTAGGAAAACAATAGAAACAACCGCCAAATTCAGATTATCAGAACAAATCAAATACATTGACTCTCTTATCATGTTTATTATGTTCCACGTTTGATTGATTAAAATCTCAAGTTTACAATCAGATAGAAAAATTATCCGATGCTAACAGTTTTACCCTTGAATCAAGAAATAGAAGCATTCCTTTCGTTAATCATACGAAAGTGGAATCGTCGCGTTAAAGTGTTGAACAAACAAACAACGATATTCAATACACATTTACAAAACAAGGATTGAATGAAGACATTGCATTAAGCTGAACAAAATGAACCAAAGGGAAACGAAAGATGTTTTGTTATTCACCAGGAGATTTTATTGTTAAATTAAAGTTGGAAAACCCAGTTACGAACTGAATTCCCATTTCTCTCTAAGCTGAGATGTAAATAATTGACAAAGTCATGGTCAATTAAAATCTGATCATTGAATATAACACAAATTTTATACAATTAATAAATACCGCAAATTCAATTAATTGAAAACAAATTATTGTTTTTTTTACCGAAAGGAAATTTAAATCACCAATCTATTTGTATTCATAACTGGAAATGCATTCTTATAATGAATAAATGTTTAGTTTTGTTCACACTCCGATTTGATTTCAACGTTAATGGTTATCAGTTAGATGTCAATCGCATTGTTACAAACGTGACATTACAGTAGAAAATTTAATATTCAATATTTAATTTCCAATATTATAGTTTTTCGATATAAAAAGATTCCTCTTTTCTGAAGAGCAACATTAAAAAACCAAGTTAAAAACATTACATATGTTCGCTGGGGCGTTTGTCCATCGAAACATAATAAATGTATTTAAAATGAAATGGAAGTGTTCCTCCATAAATTTTGAAGTTCAGTTGAAGTCTTTCAAACACTTTAACAGCTACAGTTAACAGTTCATCAACAGTTAGTAATTGGATGTTTGCTATTCAGTAACATGTTGTATGAAACAGATTTTTGTATAAGACGAATTGCGAAAACTATCGACCAAAGAAACTTTTGAATGACACAAATGGACTCAGCTTTCATGCCTCTACAAACCAACAGAGTCTAAAGCTGAAAGATTTGAATTTTTTGTCCGTTTTTGACCATTTTTGTCAATGTGTGTATAAATAAGTGTGTTGGTTGTGTCTTTCTATTAATAGTAACAACCGAAAAAGTGACCCATTTTGTTGCATATTATATTAAACTTATAATACATTGAATATTTTTTCTCGGTCGCCATCTAGTGCAGGTGACCTTTACAGCTAGCCCAGGTCATCGCCTCTTTTAAACTCTAATATAAAGCTATCATCGGAGTTTTGCTGTGATAAATTTGAAACTCACTTTCATTCAAACAGTGTTCCAGTGAAAATCATCTATAATTTCAGACCAACCATGAGAAATTTATCATCATTCATTTTGTGTATTATCTCATTCATCAATGGAATATGTAAGTTTAACATTAATTTAATTAGCAATTTAATGAACGATTTGTGCTACAATTAAAGATCCTTTTACAATAATTCATGTTATGGTTTCAATTTTACTTTGTCATCTTTAAGAAACATCTTTTATTCACGCTTTATCTGCTTTATCTGTATCTTTATTTTTACTTTAGCCTGTTACTTGATTCGAGTTGAAGACGATGGACCTGTTACCCTTGATTCCCCAATCACTTTCACAGTTAAAAATCTAACACCTGACCCATTATTAGAATATCGGTTCAAATTTGATCAGTTTAACCATTGTCTCAAATGAAAGTAGAGTTGAATACTCAGTAATATTTGAATCATCTTCAACACCAATAGCTTATAAATACAATATACAATGTACGATGTACAATGTACGATGCAAGTTGATGTATGGTATCTCGATGTTCCTTCACATTTGTTCGCAACTACTTCTCACACTTTCCAGCTTTCAGGTAAAGTTATCTAGACATTAATCCAATAAAATTAACATATTTTTCATTTCTATTTTTCTAGATTCTCTGGTTGGATTTATAAATCATGACCAAAACATTTCTTGTAGATTTTTGGATAAGTATTTTGTTTCTACTGAAATGCCGGTTAAACTGACTGCTGAAATTCATGATCTATCTGGCTTTTTCACGGGACGATTTGGAATCCCATCAGCCAATTTAACTTATAAATGGATCATAAATGGTTCACCACAAGAAGAAAACTCTAAGGTTATTGAACCGACTTTTTCTGAGCCTCAACTGAACAACATTTCAGTGATTGTTACAGCAACTAAAACCAATGGAAGTCGTCTTATACAAAAATCTGGTACATTCAACATCACACTGAATAGCAAGCAGCCAATTACTAATTTGACTGTTGATGGTCCCACCGAGGTTAAAGTGTTTGAAAGACTTCAACTAGACTTTAAAATTCATAGAGGAACACCTCCATTCCTATATAGATATTCTTCTTGGATGAATCAAACTAATACCAACAGTGAATACGCTGAAAAGCACGGCATAAATGAAAGCTCCTTCTCAATAATTAAAAATTTCAGCGAAAAAGGAACAATAAGATTATACATTGGTCTCAAAAATGATGTATCAGCATATCCCATGATGATGAACATTAAAGTCCATTAAAGTATTTTAAACCCATTCTGTGAAATCTCGAGGGCAACACTTTCTCTGTTTGCTTGCTAAAATTAATGTCCCGTGTTTTTTCACCAATCTATTTGTATTCATAACTAGAAAATACGCTCTTATGTTGAATAAATTAAACAATTTTCTCCAATTAAAAAAAACGGGAAAAATTTAAATCTTGCAAATTTAAACTCTGTTAGTTTATGCAGACATAAAAGCTGAGTCCATTTGTGCGATTTAAAAGTTTCTTTGGTCGATAGTTTTCGATAAAATTGAGTTCAAAGTTGAAACTTCGATTGCCTTTTGTACAATTATGGAAGCAAGTTTTTTCAGGATAATCATTGCACTGATGTCATTTTTGGTGCTCAATCAGAAAGTGCACTTTATTACATCAAATAAATGTTCATGTTTCTACAAAACAGATTAGTTCGACTTTTAGTTAAAAAGATCGCTCTCTATGACCGTAAGAGTGAGAGAGATAAAACTTATAATCAATTCATAAAAATTGTTGGCCTACACCATGAATCAATCACTTTTTTCACTTTACTAACAGTTCTCCTGATTTTGGACATTGACCAGAAAACTTTGAGCCTCGATTTTTCGAAAATGGTGGCATCTACCATCATTATTCTTTTCCCAAACATTAGATTTCATTATGCGCTATAATAGTATATTCCTGAATACCGAATAAACCCGAGCATTTAATAATGGAGATCATTCTCACGAGATTTGTGTTTGGTAACCATTCAACCTAATAATCAAGTTTCAAATCTGACAACATAAGTAAAACTATGCGCCAACTTTTTTTGTAGGATCGCAAATAATTTCCAGCCATAGCATATTATAGCCCATAATGCTATCTAATGGTTGGTGAAAGAATGATCATTGTAGGTGCCACCGATCTCGAAATATTGAGGTTCAAAGTTTTATAGCCAATAGCCGAAATCAAGATAACTGTTAGTAAATTGAAAAAAGTTTTCGGTCATTGATGTGTACCAACAATTTCTACACACACATAAAAAGTTTCATCTCTCTAACTCTTACGCTCACGAAAAGCATTCGATTTAAATAAAAATCGAACTTGATCTGTTTGGCAGAAACAGAAAATGTTAACCATCAAAGTAAGGCCATTTTCTGGTTGATCATCAAAATACACATCAGTAAAATAAGTTTCATGCAAAAATCTGCTTATATAGCTGAGGAAAAGGCGATCGAAGTTTTAATTTTGACCTCAATTTCCCAGAAAACTGTCCTTTGCATGAATTGTTTAATAGTGCTAATGAGCTCAGTTTTTATACCCCTACAAACACCACATGGTCTCAACTCTCAACTCAAATGTCCGAGCCTTTGGCAGTAATTTTTGCATTACTTTTGTTAACTTACTCAAGTTTAACCAGAAAATTGGTTTATTAACCAAGAAATGTGTTGAGATGAGTTTGTTTTGTTAAATAAGTTGTTGCTCATTCATTTAAAGTCCAAAAATAATAATCCGAATGCGCTAATGGAAAGTTTTTGGATTGAACTGAACTAGCAATCAGTAAAGAATTTAATTAGTGAAAGAATAATGATTCCAAGTTATGTCATTATCGAAATATCGAAGCTCGAAGTTTTCTGGTCAATGTCCAAAATCAAGAGAACTGTTGCTGAACTGAAAAAATTATTTGGGCCAACAGTTTTTCTAAACAAATAATAAGTTTCATCTCTCTAACTCTTACGCTCAAAGAAAACGATCAGTTCAACTGAAAATCGAACTGATCTCTTTTACAGAAGACAGAAAATTTTATTCATCAAAATAAATGCATTTTCTGGTTGACCACCAAAAGTTACTTGAGTGCAATGATTATTGTGCAAAATTTTGCTTCCCTAATTGTACAAAAAGGCAATCGAAGTTTTAAATTTGAATTCGATTTTCTTTGAAATTATCGATCAAAGCAACTTTTGAATGACACAAATGGACTCAGCTTTCATGTCTCTACAATCGTGCTGAGTCTAAATTTGCAATAAATTTATATTATTAAAGCATTTGATATTAAACTTAAAATCAAATACATTGGATATTCGGTTCCAGCAACTTTTTTCTTGGTGGCCATCTAGTGCAGGTGGCCTTTACAGCTAGCCCAGGTCATCGTCGCTTTTAAACTCTAATATAAAGCTATCATCGGAGTTTTATTGGGATAAATTTGAAAATCACTTTCATTCAAACAGTGTTTCAGTGAAAATCATCTATAATTTCAGACCAACCATGCGAAGTTTCTCATTATTCATTTTGTGTATTATCTCATTCATCAATGGAATATGTAAGTTTAACATTAATTTAATTATCATCTATTTAATGCTTAATTTGTGCTACAATTAAAGATCTTTTCACAATAATTTATGTTATGGTTTCAATTCCACTTTGTCATCTTTAAGAATCCTTTTGATCCACGTTTCACCAGTTTATTTATTTTTACTTTAGCCTGTGACTCGATTGAAATTCAAGACGATGGACCTACTACCCTTGATTCCCCAATCACTTTCACAGTTATAAATCGCTATCCAACAGCTGCTCCATCCTTAGAACATCGGTTCAAGTTAGAATAGAATCTCACTGAATAGCAGACAACCAATGAATAATTTAACTGTTGATGGTCCCGCCGAGGTTAAAGTGTTTGAAAGACTTCAACTAGACGTTAAAATTCATGGAGGAACACCTCCATTCAAATATGAGCATTATTTTTCAATGAAAAATCCTTTCACTTATTCTGATAAAGTTGAAAAATACACAAACGAAAGCTCTTTCTCAATTATCAATCATTTCACCACAAAAGGGACAAGATTTGCAAACATTGTCGTTAGAAATTGTGTATCAGCATTGGGCGCGGGTGCGATCTTATCGGTCTTTTAAACTATTATTTTAACTTTACGGTTATATAAACTATTATGTGAAACCTCAAGAGTACAACACTTTCTCTTTGCTCTTGTACCTGACAGAAAAATTCACTTCAATCGCTTCTCTTTAATTTCAGTGATGTTTAGGATTTTTCAAGTTTCCAAGTTGAAAAAAGTGCCATTCTCTTCTTAACGTCCTACCTCAGATTGTGTTCATGATTCCCTAGGATAAAGAATCTCATACTAATTTTATGTACTGCTTCCTTTTTATTCAGATTTTTATCTCAAAACTATGTTCTTCAATATGATACGGAATTCAAGTTCAGAGTTGATTAAATATTGCATCTTTTCTTGAATGGACATTAAACTCTATTAAACTATTGTAAAAGTATTGTAAAAGACCGAATTGAGCAAAAATTTGGATTCGCTCTTGTCGTTTTTATTTAATCTTATTGTGCTCATCAATCTCATTTGTTATAATTTTAAATTGTTTAATCTTAAATATCATAAATAATATGCTATAATATATAAGCAATAATGAATAATAAAAAAGATATTTAATCAGTTTCAAAGTTTCATCATTTATTTGTACAAAATCGAGTCTTTTTCTCGTTTTTCAATTACAATGAACGGCTTGAAAGCTAAAACTAAAGCCGGCTTTTTGATAAATAAGGAAATGAATGAAAGATTGAAAATTAACCTCAACATGGACCATTAATGAATTGATCTCGACATCTTTCACGTCTCTCCATTAATAACTTTGGGGCTAATCTATTTTTTTTTGTATTCCGTCATTTTATGTGATTGATTATTTAAAAAATAATTCCTGTTTATTTAGAAGATGATTTGTGTGATATTTAGTGTTATATAATTTAAGCTATACTATTCACCACTAGATGGCAGTTCTACTTTTTGCTTGTTAATTCTAGTTACAAGTTGTAACTTGATTCTTGTTCTTGTTACTGTTCTTTTTTATTCTTAGCCGCCTTTCCCCATGGCTAAATTTGAATTTGAAGGTTTGAGTTTCCCTCATGCCGTTCTTAATAGTCTATTACCTTTTCGTCTAGTCATTGACCTGGGAAATAAAAAGGACCATGTGCTTGTCAGTTCGCCCAAGTCCACCACACAAATTGAGCCAGTCAAACCAAAGGAACAACCGACTCGTAAAAGATCAAGTTGTCGAAAATCTACTTGCCCTCCTATCTTGACATCCAGACCTGAGAAAAAACGTGCCGATAAAAACAATGACAGTGATTGTGACAGTGACAGTGACGTTAATTTATGGTCTGATGCTTATTCAGATTCAACGATTGGTGAGGACTTCACTGATGACGAAATTGATGCAAACAAACGCTCTGGTGCAATATTAAAAGGAGATAAAGAAAAGGTCACCAGAAAAAGAGTCAAGAAAAGTGAAGCTTCACTCTCTAAACCAAGCGTCCAACAAATTATAGAAAATGATTTATTTTTGCAACTTCAACCAAGAGTTCATATTTTAAGACTACCAAGTTTCATGGTTAACTCAGATGACAAAGCTGCTGATTTGGAACAAGTCTACAAGGTTTTTGAAACCAATCTGTTCAGAGATATAGATTGTGTAGCTCGCTACAGTGAAAGACGAAATAATTTTGATTATGACGATGACTTTATTCCAAATATATTGCCTTCTCAGCAATTATCTAATCCAAGGAAGCGAGGGATTCTTGAACTCGGTTCTGATGATGATGATGACGATGATGACAAGGATATGAAAGATGCTGGCGGTAGCAGTAATAACTTGCCGGCGGTTGAAAAGAAAAGAGCCAGAATGTCTTCATCGAAGCCAAGGAAACGAGTTGTGGTTGCCGACTCTGATGATTCAGAATCAGATGATATGTTTGATGACGAAGATGATGGCGAAATTATGTTAGATAGTGATGATTATGAAGAAAATGATGATGAAAATGAGCTTACTGAAGGACGTGAAACTTTGTCCGATACAGAGGCAATGTTTAAGAAGAAACGCAAACGTAAATTTGCTAGAAGAAAACGTTACTCTATGGTAAGTAAAGCTCCATTTAAATTAATCGATTACAAGTGCTGTCAAAGCACTCATAGTTTTTACATTCTGAACTTGAATTCCATCTCATTACGTCCATTCATTTATTTATGAATCTATATTTTTCTTTTGCTAAAGATAACTTTATCTTCTGACGATGAACAAGTTGATATTTCTGAAGTCATCGAAGAAGAACCTGTACCAGATCAAGATGCACCAATTTCGAGTCAAAAATCTGACCGTAAAGAAATCCGGAGAGTTCTTTCGGAAGCTGAGCTTGAGAAAGCAACCAAAGAAGCTACTTCAAAAGAAAGGAAAAGGATGGAGAGAATCAATGAGATGATTAAGCAATATGATAAAATTTTACCAGCAATTGAAAATGAAAGAAAAGAAAAGCCCCTTATTTTGGATATTGATATAAAAACTAAAAAAGTTCGTGTGGAGGTTACCCAAAAACTTGTCAAGGATTTGAAACCTCACCAGTTTGAAGGATTGAAGTTCTTGTATTATTCAACGATTGAAAGTATTGAAAAAATAACTGAAGAAGGTTCTGGTTGTATTCTTGCTCACTGTATGGGCTTAGGAAAGACTCTTCAAGTGATAACATTTGTCCAAACTCTTCTCTCAAACGAATATACTAATAAACAAATCCGGACAATTTTGATCGCTGTGCCGGTCAATACCCTTAAAAATTGGTCCGAGGAGTTTGACAAATGGATTACTAGAAAGCGTTTAAGGACCTTCAATATTTATGAAATGGTCGATGAGTGCGATACTAAGAGTCGTGCTCATTTGTTATGTACTTGGAAAAAAGAAGGTGGTGTTATGATTATTGGGTTGCCGATTTTTGCCTCTTTAATGAGCCTTAGAGATGCTAAAAAGAAAAATGCAACACTGTCAGTTATCAAAGCAATTGAAGATTATCTTTCTGACCCTGGTCCAGATTTATTGATAATCGATGAAGGTCATCTTCTTAAAAACACTTGTACCAGACTCTGTAAATCTGTGGAAAAAGTCAAAACTAAAAGGAAAATTATGTTAACAGGAACACCTTTACAAAATAATCTTGATGAATATCGCACAATGATCAACATAATCAAGCCCAGACTTTTAGGATCTGCAAAAGAGTTTGCTAATAGGTTTCGTAATCCGATTGAAAATGGTCAAAAAGCTGACTCAAACGCAAGAGACGTAAGCCTTATGAAAAAAAGAGCTATGATTCTCCATAAACTTCTCGATGGATGTATACAAAGATTTGGCCATGATACTTTAAAGCCCTTTCTACAACCCAAACTAGAATATGCCCTTTATATTCGCCCCAGTATTTGTATGGCTAAAATGTATAATTATTATCTTGATCATTCATCGGGACGTGCTCTTTTATGGGATGCTACAGTCCTTCGTCTTTGTATCAATCATCCAGCTCTCTATTATATGGCCGAGAAAACTTTAGCAGCCAAAGCTTCAAAGGTGAAAAAAGTGCAATTACCTGCTGATTTGAGGCCTATTGGTAAAAACTCAAACTCAAAACCTGAATCTAATCAATCTCAAACCATTCCAAATGTAAACCAACAAACTGAATCTGGTGAAGCTTCAACTTCCAGCAATTCAAACAATCCTGTGCCTTCATCCACCGAACCACTTTCAAATGTTGAAAATAATGATAAAGTGGTGGATAAAATACCTACTGATGTTGATCCCGAAACAGAAGAAAGCAACAATAAGGTTAAAAAAGATTGGTTCAAGCAATTTGTCGGTCCCGATGATTGGAAAGTTATTAATTTGAGTGGAAAACTAGTTATGTTATTCAAAATTTTGAAAAAATGTATTGCTATTGGAGAAAAATTACTTGTTGTTAGTCAATCCTTGGAAACTCTTGATCTCATCGAAAAGTGTCTTAAGCTTAACAATGAAGTTGTTATCAATAATGCGAGAACAGTCTTGCAATGGGTCAAGGGTAAAAATTATTTTCGTATTGATGGTAAAACCGAATGTTTCGAGCGTACTTCCCAAGTAAACCATTTCAACAACCCAGAAAATACTGATGCCAAACTATTTCTGCTGTCTACTAAAGCTGGTGGTGTTGGTATCAACTTATTCGGTGCTACAAGGTGTATTATTTTTGATGTTTCATGGAATCCTAGTGATGATATTCAAGCAATCTTTCGCATTTATCGACTTGGCCAGTCTAAACCTGTGTATGTTTACCGTTTTGTTGCAAAAGATTCTATGGAAGAAAAAATTTTTCGTAAACAAATTGTTAAACTTGGTATGGCCATTCGTGTCCTTGACAAAGCACAAGTGAAAAGAAATTTCAAAACTGCCGAGCTTAGAGAATTTTACACTACACGACCAAATGTGCATTACGATATTCCTGTCCTTAATGTGCCTCAAGATCATCTTTTAGCTGACTTACTGTGCTCTGACAATAACGAAATATTAGATTGTACAGTATTCGACTCATTGTTAGAAAAGAAACCAGAAGAGGATCTCACGGAAGATGAACGTCAAGCTGCTTGGGCTGAATATCAGAAGGAAAGAGATGCAGAAATTCAGGCCGCCGAAGAGCGGAAACAGCAAATGGAAGAAGAGAGGAAAAAAGCTGAGAAAGAGGCCGCTTTAATAGAAGCAGCTAAACTAAGTCGTCTTGCAGAAGAAGCAAAACAGAAAATAAACCAGCAAGATAGAGCAAAGAACTCATTAGCAGCTGCAGCATTAGCGTCTGCTCCGGTACTTGCTTCAACGTCTACTTCAGTGCCTACTCCAGTGCTTAATTCAGTGCCTAGTTCATCGTCTACATCAGTATCCATTCCAAGGTCTACACAAAATGGAGCATCAGTCTCTTCACCAGCAACACCAGGTCCATCAAGATCAACATCAGGTAACAAAAATGATTCAACATCGGTAAAACAGCACCTAATTCAATATCTTGCAGGTAACGCCAGCATAAAGGATAATGAACGATCAATAAATGTCATAGCTAATAGGTTAAGTCAAAGTTTGACTGCTGTAAACAGTTCAAATACACAGGCTACGCCCACTATCTCCCAAGTTGCGCCTAATCTTATTCTCGCCAGAAAAAGAGGAACATTCGCATACAAACATGTGGCTAGAGCTCGTCCTGCAATACCTAACACCCGAACTCGTGTAAATCGGTCTTTAAAAGCAATGGAAACAATTGAAGAAAAAAGAAGAAAGGAAGAAGAAGCAACTGTCAATGCTATTAACCAGGCATTGCCCCGTAAAAGGGGTCGACCACCAGCGGATCATGCTTCATCATCAACATCAGCTCCTCCGAAAAAACAACCGAACAATGAAAGAAGTGTTGGATCAAGGGAAGATAGCAATCGAAATGTCCAGAGTAAGGCTTTCAGTTTTTTTTCTCGGTGCTTAGAAAGTTTATGGAAGAAGGAATGATAAATTTTTTAAACATTTACAATGTTAGCGGTTTAGGATTATGTGCTTAGGGATAATCTCTTGTTGTCTATCATGACTTTACCTACTTACATCAACTTTCACCAAGCCCGTGTAGGCATCTGCAACAATATTAACATTGAAGGTCATCTAGACATAGATTTGTGAATTTCCCTAGAACGCGTTTCCCATTCGTACATTTGATAATAATGTCTAACCGGTTCTTTACTAATCGTTTCATTGTCTCTGTCATTGTTCATAACTCACTCCTACCCCCCTAGATAATGATCTTCGTCCTTATAGCTACCATTATCCGCTCAATAACTCTAATATTAATTATAATCCCGCCATTATGGATCCGATTCCTCTAGCAACTCCTACACTTAGACAACAAGGACCTTACAGCAATTTGAATCAAAGGCAAGGAAATCAAGGATATCCTAACCCTCAAATTATGCAGCGAGTTCAAAATTCGAACTATCAGCCACCGCCACAAGGTATCGATTCAACTAGAAAACATGAGTTCAATATTTTGCGTGTTAAAGCATCCAATCAAGATATACATATGAGAGTTCAATCAGAGATATTTCGAAGCCCTTTCACATGGAAAAAACGAAGTGACCAGAAATAGACATTGTTTGGCCAAACACTTACAGGAAAACAATTTTCCTTCATTTTTTGTTTATATTTAATTTAACATTTTCTCTTTTCTCTAAATTAACTTCAATTACTTCAATCTGCATAATTTGTCAATTTTTATCATTTGACTATTTTTTTCATTATTTTCAAATGAATTAATGTTATTGTTTTGGACTTTATTAATACTTATTTTCACAATGCGTGCAACTTTTGTTTATTGTTCCTGTTTCAACCTCTTTATGTAAATGTGTGAACGTTTAGCTGTTTTGATCTTCAGCAAAATATTGTCTTATCTGTTTTCTGTCTACTTTTTTGCCTAATTTTAGATAACTTTTATTCCTTTCTTTTCTTCTTCTTTTCAGCCCATTCAACCACTAAGTCACATTCATCAAATACTCAGTCTGAGAATAGACACCACCAAAGCACTGGTATACCATCGCATGGACATTCATCTGAACCTAGTTCAGCGCACAGTCAACATTCATCTTCGTCTTCCAATTTCCAGAATTATCAATATCAAACCTCACCTCCACCATCTCAACACACTATACCGCCACCTTACACGTCTAATCCATTTAACTTCCGTTCTCAAGATCATAATCCATCCCAGAATTATCCAAGCCAGCGTGCTCATTCTAATGGTAACCCATCTTCTCTTGATTTTATTGATCAATTCGTTTCTACTGATGCAATTTTGTCTGATTCATTATTAGAACCGAATAGTTCATCTATACCTTCAATTATCGATAATGTATCTACTTCAACCAATCAACTGATGAGCTCTAATTTTTCAGAACAAGTTACAGACTCTACGGAATCTGATGAACTTTTTCTTAGTCAACTTTCAGATATCAATTTAACTAATTGTTCGCTTAGTGAGTTAATAAGGAAATTGTTGTCTTTAGACGAAAAATTTGATCCTAAAGACCCTAATCTTCCTGAATACACCATTCAATTGATTGAAAAAATTCGATCAATTTTAACCAAGAAGAAAGAAAAACTGGACGAGAAATCTCGTGTAAGTACTTGTTCATTTGAGTTCAAGAATCAGGTTTCCTCCCGCATCTTTTTACCTATTAATTTACAGAATCAACTTGATTCTGTGCATTAATATAATAATATAATATAATAATAATAATAATTTTGCAACTATTTATTAACATTACAATTTGTATCATGCTATTTCAAAATACTAATTAACTCTGATTCCATTTAGGTCGACCTTCTTACAGAGACCGAGATTATCGAAAGGATAACATGTGGCCAAAGTTTAAATAACCTAGAAAAGCGAGTCGATGATATTTTAAATAATCCAACAAGTACAGATTGTCATAATTTATAAATGTGCAAATAATTACATTTTTACTGAAAATAAATATCTTTTATATTGATTCACGAAAAATTTACATGATTTAAATCCTCTGATCTTATAAAAGATAAAAATGAATTGTTTATCGTTTAAGGTGCAATTCAATTTAATTTTAAAACCGATTCAATGCTTTCTAATCTTGCTTTTATAAGATCTGATTTGCTAATACATCAGATCAAGCGCATCTGCAAGTTCATATTTTTTAGCCCTAGCAAGATTCACCAAAAGATTTTCATCAAATGATTTCTTAGTTATTCACTTAAACAATAGCTTACAAAAATTATTAAGACGGTTGAATGCTTGTAAACAGGTTATTTTGAAATGACACATAAATATGGAAAAGCCTTGAAAACGTAAACTTTCAGATGGCGTTGAAAAAATGCATTTTATCTTCTGAATTTCATGGTTCTTCTCATTGAGTTCCAATGGCAAAACTAACAACTTTGTACATGAATTTGAACATTATGTCATTTAACAAACTAATAGGGCGATACATCATCAGAGTAAAAATTTGTTGAAGTTTAATATCAACAGCAGAATGTGCCAATTATCTACTTGTGGCTTACATGTGACTTTGGTCGCATATTGTTACTCACACATGATCAAAACCAAAATAGCACCAAACAAAAATTTGTCATTTTTCTACTGGATGGAATAATGTATCTGCAAATATCGTCGAGAAATCGGCCTTCGAGAGTTGATATATTTCATTGACACACTAATATAATCAGCATTGCTTTTATGTATTATATTTAAATTGAAAATTCATTGGTCGCGCCTTGGAATACGGTAAAAAAGATCGAAACACTATTTATCTAGTCTTGTCAATGTTTGAGTGTTTTTCAATGATTTTTACTATTGATACATTAATTCATTTATTATATTTTTATTTTTAATATGGAATCACAATCACTGAATTACTACGGATACAAATCACCATGAAACACGAACTCTTTATTATTAATCTTTATTTTCTTTCTTTTTTAACTCCAATCAACAGTTCAACAACAAGCAACTACCGATTCATTGAATCAAAAAAATGAGTAAGTAAAAATAATGTTGATATTTCATGAAATGATACAATAATTTCTTACCTTCAGCCAGCAACCGATTTCGACAAGTGAATTGAATAGCAAAAAAGAGGAAGAAATTGTTATTGAAAAAACAATTCCACAACAGGAAACTAACGAACCATTGAATCAACAAAATAAGTGAGTTATAAAATAATGTTGATATTTCAAATACTTAAAATATTCTTCTCTTCTTCAGTGCTGGAGGAGTAAAAATACTTTACCAATGTCCGTACTGCTCATATAAAAGTCCAAAAAAGCGGATAATTACTGTGCACATGAACCCTAGAAATGTGAAAGGAAAAGTTAAGGCACCTCATTGTTGGCAGCGCCGTAGGCACGACCCACCGACAAGTGATGGAAAATGGTGGAATTCTAGACGAAAAGTTATTGAAATTGAAATTAATCAAGAAAATACTTTGTAATTAAAGAAGTTAAATAAAAATATTTAATATTTTGATACACTGCTTTTTGCGTTTACCAAACCGCATCCACAATACGATAGCGACAGATGTGTCACAAAGTTTTATGTCAAGTCATATATTGGGTAAACGTCTGTCAATCGTTTGCTCGACAAAACTGTCTCTATGTCGTTGACATAATACCATCTTTTGTAAGATGGGTAACGTAAAAATGGTTTTCTTAACTTGATTTGTTTATTACGTTTGGATCCTTTAACATTTACAACCAATTCAATGATAAAAATAAAGCACGAAAGACCCAAAAGGAATGCAAAAAGATAGAGTAAATCTTCAATCGTGATGAATGCAATTGGATGATACGCAATTGGATGGGTTTTGACTTGCTCATAATCTTCGCATTGGGCATTTGTTTTGTAAAATTTAACCCTTTTCACAGCCACTTTACTTATTGCCCAGTCAAATGCATCAAAACAATAGCCCATCTCAAGGCACGAATAGGCTGCTCGTTGAAGGAAACGTTTCTTGCTCTTCTCGATAAACTTGTGGTAAACCAAAAATCGTAAAGTATCAAAATAACGACGATTACTAATATCAACATAAAAGTTAGTATTTTTCTTGACATTGATCATTAAATTGCAAAATATTCTGGTGCAAGTTTTAGTGTAAAGCATTGAATCGAGAAAAACGATTCTATCGTCAACCAAATGATCAGCAATATATTCAACAGGTTTACCAATGTCAACTGGATGTACACGACGGGACAAAAATGGATCATCTCTAATCTCAAGGGCACAGTACAAATTATCAATCACATCTACGCGTTGAGTTGACCTGTTAAGATCCTCCAACTCAATTAAGGGTGGAGCTCGAGTGGCTATTGAATAATTGGTCGTAAATGCAGAGGTTAACAATTTGGAGACGAAAAAGACAGCACAATAACAAGTGGCCAAAATTATGAAACCAAATTGTCCATTGATAAGCTGTTTTGTTGTCCCCTTGAAAGGCCAAGGTAAAGTTTTCTCACGGACTGCATAAATAAGCACTCCGATGATGGACAAAAGGCCAATTAGGAAATAAACATTGAGTTCAATTATTTGAAAACTGGTCAATATTCCTGGATACTTTGATTTAACCGCTCTGTCCGTGTAAAGATTGATAAAGCCACAGTCTTCAGTGAGCATCAATGAACTAAAACTAACATTTTCTGGAATCAATGAAAAACGATCAGCTGGTTCAGGTGGGAATGAAGCATCATTGAGGCCAGATTGGATTGAATGGAGCAAAGGTGACGAGCAAACAGATGAATGACATTGTTTATTTTGAATGTGTCCACCGTTTACCCATTCAATTGGCACTTCACCAATCATGATTGATCCATAGGCTTTCATTGTACCAAACACGGATGGATCTTCATTTCCGGAAGCCTGACTATAATGGACCAATCTTAAGGATCCGTTGAAGGGGACATTCAATGGCATCGTTGAACCTTTGAATTTAAATGGACGTGAAGTGTGTTATTGGTAAAAGTTAACACAATCTCAATGAGAGATTTTGATTTCCATTGATTGAAAAATTTTTTCAATTTGGCTGTACAATTAAAAATAATGCCTAATTGGAAAATTTTTCATTTATGAAGTGATTAACTTTCCATTTTCTGATGAAACAAAAATCCATAACAGTAAAAAATTTATCTCTAATGATGTTGCTGAGTTTTAATTGAATCTATTCTGCTAATTGGACTGCTAAATTAAATGATGTATAGTTTATACGGAATTTTGATTTGATTTTTTTTTCGATTTTTAAAGGTCTAATATCATTGATTAGAATATTTTTAACAATAGTAATCACTAATACAATGAATGGTGAAGGTGACATTTTTATAAAAAAAGAGTTGATTGAAGAGTGAAAGTTAAATCTTTAAATGATTAAATCAATTCAATTTTTGGGGACTTTATTTTATAAATTATCAGGTGATTGGACTCAAAATTTACAAAAATATCATTTTATAACAGAAAATAGAAAATTCAACTTAAAAATTGGTTCATAAATAACATTATTTTGCTTCTCCGTGTTTATCAAGTTTTAATTACGATCCTTGATAGCTTGAACGGTGTGTTAGGTGATAAGTGGTATCATTTTGAATGTTGTGGATGCAAAGGTTTCTTCGCACCATTCAGACATACTTTCGAAACCGTTGACAAGATGGTAAATTTTGGAAGTGCAGGAATGATTTTATAAGTCCTGAGTCTTTTCTTCGCTCAGACTAATTAATATATTGATTCTCAATACTAATAAATTGTATATTGCTAATACAATGTATAATGCTAAATCTGATGTTACTAATACATATAATATGCACAATCAAAGAAGAGAATTTTACAATAAAGACTATTTTGTCTGATTTACTGTGCAAAAAGATCAGAATTTATATGGGAGATACATTGATCAATAAAATTGAACAAATTGTATTTCATTTGAATTTGTTCTGATAATCTAAATTTCGCGGTTTATGCTCTTGTTTTCCTAACCAGGACAATTGAGTTAACGCCTACTCAGCCTTTCACATTTGACTTGAAAGAGAAGAGACTAAAAAGACTGAAGTAAACATCAGCGAAGTAAAATAAATGTCTTTTCCCAGTTTTTTGTGTTGTTTTAAGTGTCAACATATTCTATTTTAGAACCAGCCCAATTAAAACCAACTTTTAATTTATTTTTTCTATAAAACGTGAAATCTAAATAAAATGCCTGCTCCAGTTGAGGAACCTCCACCGGTGGCTGCACCAAAAACAGAAGCTGAAAGGCTGCATATGCAAGCACAGTCTGTTACTGATGAGGTTTGTTTTTATTTTCTAGTTTCCAAGTCTCTTTTAACTCAGATGATTGAAATTTTTGACATACAAATGATAATTAACATGATTTTATTTTATAGTCGCTGGAATCGACTCGTCGAATGCTTGCATTATGTGAAGACAGCAAAGAAGCCGGTATACGAACATTGGTTGCTCTGGATGAGCAAGGTGAACAATTGGATCGTGTTGAAGAAGACATGGATAAAATAAATACTGATATGAAGGAAGCTGAGAAAGCTTTGACTGGTATGGAACAATGCTGTGGACTGTGTACATGTCCATGTAAAAAGCAGAATGAATTTAAAGAGAATGAATCTACGTGGAAATCAAGTGAAGATGGTAAAGTTATTGCTGGTCAACCAGCTAGAGTAATGGATGAAAGAAATGGAGGTGGACCAATGGGAGGACAGTATATTGCTCGAATTACCAAAGATGCTAGAGAAGATGAGATGGAAGAAAATATGCAAGGAGTATCTACTATGATTGGTAATTTACGGAATATGGCAATCGATATGGGTCAAGAAATTGGTTCACAGAATGCTCAATTAGAAAGAATCAATCTGAAAGCTGACTCTAATAAACTTAGGATTCAAACTGCTAATGAGAGAGCACAAAAACTTCTTAAATAAAGCGACCTTTATCTGGTAATTATTGTTACATCGAAATGCCTGATCTCTTTGTTGATCTGTGAAGCTTTTCCTTAACTTCTACATCTTCGAAATCTCCTTTTTTCTTCTTTCGACTCTACTACTACTTCTACTTCTACTACGTCTGCTACCACTGTTTCTTCAAATGGATTTGAATTAAGTCTTATAGTGATTTTCTTGCATGATATCAAAAAATTGCAATAAAATCAAACGGATTGCTGAGATTTTTAAGGATCATAATATATTTAAAACTGAAAAAAGATTTTAAATCAATCAACACACAAACAAATTAATAAATCATTCCAATATGCAAAACAACCAAACAAATTATGTATAACATTTGACAAAAATACTTATTATAATGATGAATAACTTAATTGGTTTGATTCTCTTTGACCCTATTGCTGTGGCTAACCTTGGAAAACTTGGATTCTTTACCTTCAAATGTATTATATCAAATTTTTATTTTAAAACGAGACAAAAAATCTGAACATTTATCTTGGTTGATCTTAATTACGAATATAATTATAACTATCATTATTATCATCATCATTATTATAAATATTATTAAAAAATTGTTATGCACTTCATCAACTTGGCCTTTTAAATTATTCCTTTAACATCGACAATCTATCGATGGTCTCATTTATGAAGCGATTCCACTTAAAATTGCTATTTGCAACTCATTTTTCGTATAAATATCATTTTCAGCTAAAGAATCTTCAATTCTATTGGCCGTTGGTATAAACTTTTAAATATTTAGTAATTTGAAAATATTTATTATGCTTAGTCTAATACAACTAACTGTTTTGCTCAGATTTATCATCAAAAATCTGTAAAATGATACCTCGATTCACTTCTTTAGATTCTTCAATATTCAATTGGTAGGCATAATCGTTAATCTCTTGTATCTGTTCCATCAGTTGGTTCGGCTTTGAGTCACGAAAACAATAAATCAGTTCATAGTCATCTGCCTCCAGCATCTCTAATTTTGATAAATCCCAATCACTTTCCCCTAACTTCCATTCGGGTTCACTTTTCTTCATAAAATCCAGTAAACCAGGAACTTGAGATTATAGAAAAACAAAATAATCATTAACGTTAACAGAATACTTTAAAAATTTGAATTTAGATAAGTTAGTTAATCTACAAATAGCAAAACCTACCAGATTGAGGCCATATAGTAGGAGAAGAACGGTCCAAAGTTTCCTGGCAAGAAAGGAATTCATCTTCCCTTGTAGTCCATACTGCTGTTGTGATTGGACGGGAATAAAGAAGCAACGGTCAATCTTAGAAGATAAACACTTACAGGGTGAACTCAGAACTTACCTTCAGACTTTGGATGATTTACTTTCACTTTCAATTCTAGATTCGATTCAGAATCAACGTTCTCCATAACTCTGATTAAAATGGTTGTTATTGATGACACACGTTTAAGTTTGAAAATGCGCGCTAACTAACCGCATGGGTGAGTGGTCAGAAGAGTGAAAGAGACAGAAGGGGAGATTATTTGAAAAAGTCTAATTAAGATAATCTAATGATCTTTCGAGTGAAGATTCTGCTTTAAAATAAAACTCATTCCCGCCCAGTAGTACTCAAAATTGGTTACCATGTGATTGCAAATTTTCTGCCGCCAAATTTGAAAAGGGAATCTTGAATTATTTACACTTTTATCAGCGCCATCTCTAAATTGAAAGTTTGAATGAAAAGATAATATCTTGCGATTCTTTTGCTAGTAAATCTTAATTACTAGTAAATCTTAATTATTTAATTAATGCTTTCTTAATTTGTGTGACAAAAATTTGATTTCTATACAGTGATTGAATGTACTATGGGAAATAATTTAACTGTATCATCAATCATAAAAATTGAAGTTTAATATTGAACATTTTCGCGAAAAAAAGGTTAATTCATTGTTTTTTCATCACTATTTTGCTTTTACCGAAGCTTGTTCATCTTGTATCAGATCATTTCATGGATTGTTTCACTTTGTATTAGGATTACTGTTCACCAATTTTAAGTTGGACTCATGAAACATTTAATATCACGAGGACCATTCAATTTATTTTCTCGATCTGAGTATCAGATTACATCATTTGCATGTAAGTTCATCGGTGATAAGAACTTTCATTTCTCTGTCAACAACCTCTATGGATATTTATCAGCGTGCGATCTCTAATCATTGAGTATTTAACGCCAGTTCATTTTCAATTCAATTGAAATTTAATTGCTACCCAATAAAAAAGCACAAAAAAGCGTCTACGAAATAACATGTCACATCCCTTGAATAAAAATATTTAACTGTAAGTTTTTATTTTATAAGCTGAGTAGTTCATGCATTTAATGTTAATAACCTCAGTAAAAATTTAGTAAGTTAAAAAAGATTAAGATTAAATTGGCTGTTTACAACCTTTCCTTGAATAAATCAGGTGTTTACCGTGATTAATTGATAATACATTTGATAAAATATCTTCTTATGTAGAGAACTAATTTCTCAAGAAGAAATCAAAAAAACGACAAAAGCGATAACTTTGATTGCTAATTGTTTTTAGCTTTCGTCTTCATCCGAGTCTTGTTTATGTGTCAATGTCGATAACTTTTTCTTCATTTTGGGTGTCAATAAGGGCAGATAATCCTTGGAAATCAAAAAGGTTGACAGATTAAATAGATCAACAAAAACCTTATATCGATCACTCATAGTAGATCTTAGGTATTGATAACCAGCTGAACCTCCAGTTCCCATTTGATGAGATCCAATCATTCTGAGTACCATTTGAACATGGTTATCTGGAAAATAATTCAAGATAGAAAATAATGAAAATAAAACAATTCAAAACAATCAACAGCTGGCATCAGACCAACTAGTTCAAGTTCAGTTGGATAAGAATTGAAAATCAATAAAACATCGAATGCTTACATCGCCATTTTGTAATGAGAGAGTCAATGTCCATCAATGAAGTAAGAACATGGTAAGGTTGATTAAATCTGGGTTGATCTTTGTATAAGGAAATCATTAAAGCACCTTGCAGAGCTCGGTGAGAGAAACGGCGCTCACCACGAGTAATCAAGCCATTGTGAATAGATTCATCAAAGATGGTCTCAAATACTTTAGTTTTTTGCTTGTAATCATTCAAAATGTGCTCTTTTACGCCAGGATCAGTTTCTTGTTCAGCCTCTCGTAAACTGCTTTCCAACATGCCGTTAACGACTTCTTTATACCTTTCCCAGAAGTTGAAATCTTCCTCTTCAAGACCTGGAGTTCGTTCCAACCATCTTTGAATAAGATCACACAACGAAGGCTCTTGCTCTGATTTTTTAATCAACTCGATTATCTTTGGATCTTGAAAGATGGTCAAATAATGACTTTTCCCATAATTTACTCGAAGTTCATTTTTAACGCCCAACTTGTTCTCTAAAAGACGAAACTGGACACTTTGAAATCCTGATGCTGGAGACAGATAGTTACGAAACTCCATGAACTCCAGTGGAGTCATGGTTTCAAGAATGCTGACTTGATCAACAAGTAACTGTTTCAAAAATTAAAGTAAGCATAAAAAAGCATTAAGCAATAGTCATAAACATTTGAGTGTAATCACTTCAAAATAATAAAGCAATGATATGCAGTGTAATAAGTTCATTGGAATAATTTATTGATGAAACTTACCTTCAAAATTAACACCAATCGATTCAATCGAGATGTAATAACCAGCATGTTTGTTTCACTGACTTCCTTTAAAAGAGAAAAATAAAAAATTCATTTTGAGTCGCAGATAAAACCAGTACTCAATGTGTCAGATATATTTACCTTTCCATTAAGAAGATTCCTAATGGAGTCCAACTCAAATAAAATTTGCTTAAACCACAATTCATAAGCTTGATGGGTAACAATGAAAAGGTGTTCATCATGAACTTCATTGCCAAGTGACCTAGTGATGGGTTCAACACAAGAAAGCAACTGATCCAGCTAATGAAAGGAGAAAGAGACAAAATTGACAAAGATTTATTAAATTAATTGAAATAGTCAAATAAACTTACCATCAAATAATCACCATAAAGCAATCCACCTTTGGGAATTTTTCGCGAAATCGTGTCATCGGAACTCATAGTTGATTAAGGTGCACAATGTTCAGGTGTTTTTGATCACAGTAGAGGTACAAAACACAAGTAAAGCAGTAAAAAAAAGAAATTAAATTTACTTCACTTTCTTTTCTCTTCAATTAAGTTAAACTTACGGCTTGAAGCAAAATGAGGAGGGACAAGAATTTGATTAAATACCAACACACCGATGAAGAAGAAGGAGGGGAATTAGGAGTGATTAAGGTTGATAATAAGGTAACCTAATCTAACCTTGATTGAAGTATTAGAAAGTAAACTAGTCTGACGACGGGTTCAATCTCACATTGGAACCCTTAAGGAACCCTTTTTTCCAGTCGCCATCTATTGAAATTATGTTTTCCCTTGCAAGATAAACTTTCAATTTTTAATCTTTCAAAATGGACAAATTAAAACATCTTAAGATACCGACTGTTCAAAAAGGTGTTCAATTTTTCCAAAGGTTTAACCGTATGATTAATGTTATCTGTTATCAACTGTTATCTTTAATCTTTTTCTTACTGCTGTCCCTCTAACCCTTGGTTAAACTTCATATTACAAGTTAAAAAGAAAGAGTTGTAATCTTTGAATTCAAATTCACCGATTAGTTAAGATTAAGAACGTTTCACAATAATGAAACATTTATTTTCCTTGGCAAAGAAATAAGAAATAAAAACAAGTATTAGTTGTTAATTGGTTTGATAAAATCGATCAAGATATCGTTTCATTTTTAATCATTGTTACAGTAAAAAGATGCGAATCTTAAAAATGATAAATAATCTACACGATTGATTTTTAGATGGAATTAGGTGTTACGATAAGCAATTAAAAACAAGATTATCTTAAGGAAGCATTCAGTTCTTTTAATATGAGAAACAAGTTGTTAGTTGAGATCAAAAACACCGGGGAAATCAGACGAACGGAAATTGATTTCAAGGTTGCCTTCATTTATGGTTATCTCGAGAAAAGTTATTCACACATTTACAGAGAATCCTTGTGATTGGATGAGAACCATTTACAACTTGAAAAGCTAGGATTAAAGTGTTCTAATAATTTTGAAGATTTCATCATTCCATTAACGCATTCCATAACATTTCTTAGGAATCGTCTTCTGAGTAACTGAGCAATGATAAGTAACATGACGCAATTCATATGCAAAAATCGACAGGTAGATGGCAGCTGTTTTTAGCTTTAAAGTTCATGCGCGAGACTAGTTAGAGCTGGTTATATTTTTTAACCACTAGAACCACTTTTAACATTGCAAACTGTTTTCTTTCAATTCTGTTTAAGAATTTCATTTTACCGTTTATTCTCTGAATTATTCAATCAATTAATTAACTCCTTGACTACCTTATAATTTTTTGTTAACATTGACTAAGTTATCTTCTTGTCTACATTAGTTACACTCATATCTATCTTACCCGACTGTTTTTGATAAACTTACACCATGGCTAGGACCAATCAGTATATCAGTTCTCAAAACAAAGTGCAAAAGGCCAGGAAATCCACTGGAGCCTGTGGTGCACTGACCATCAAATTGGCAGCCAAACGAGGTAAAACCATTGGCAAAGGTAAAAAAGATATGAGAGACATGATAAAATTTAAACCCAGACGATACCATCCAGGTGTAGTTGCTCTTCGAGAGATTAGGAAACTACAGAAGCGAACTGACTTACTCATCCCAAGGAATCCATTTTTACGACTTGTAAAGGAAATTGCCATGGATTATTCTCTTGAGCAACTGCGATTTCAATCTGCCGCATTAAGTGCTTTGCAAGAGGCCGCTGAAGCTTTTCTTGTTCGTCTATTTGAAGATACACAATTGTGTGCTATTCATGCCAAAAGAGTGACAATATTTCCAAGAGATATTGTTTTGGCTTTAAGAATCCGTGGTGATTTGTTCTTAAGACCAACAGCCGCTAATTAAAAGCATTCATCTTGTAATTATTTAACTACTGCTCTTCTCTTTTAATTCGGATCTATGAAACATTCGATTAAAATTGTAAATAATAATAATCTATCGACAAAATATTACTCATGTTGAAAACTGTTGTAAACATTTTCTTTTCTCATAAAAACGTACATTCTAAACTTGTAATTTTCATCATTTTCTCATTAAAAACTTTCATCTAAACCCAAATTTTGTTACAATACATCTAATTTCACGGGTCTTTGCTTTGCAGAACGGGCGAGCTGTCACGCTTCCGTGAACCGGTGACTAGTTCTTGAATAATTTTAGTGTAATCTTAAAACCAGAATGTTGTGTAAAGTTACCCCTTGTCCGTAACCTTTGAATTTTGCTTACAAAGGTGTGTTTTGAATTTGAATCAGGTTAGGAGTTAAACAAAAGATTATCTCATCGGGTTCAAATCGAGTCATTTGTTAATAAAATTTACATTGAAATTACCATTTTAATGGCTACAGTTTAACCTGAATGATCATCGTATGAACTATTACCAATCAAGGCGTTGATTGGACATTTGAGGATACCAATGAATGCTTAATTACGTTCTTAATAAAATTGTACCTTTACTGATTGAGTAAAGAGACATTTTTTTTGTGCTAGAAACGTTATTTCCGATTGTAAACTAGTAATGATTTAAGGTTCAAAGGGAATGATTTGACACAGAAACGTGTTTTTATGACTAATTAAAGTTGGCAGACATTTTTTTTAAGCAAAAGTGAAATTCTCGTTGTATTTATATTTTTATAATAATAATATTAATAATAGTAATAATAATATTAATAATAATCGTGAAAGCGTTTTTGTTTGACATGGATGAAAAAGGAGTCAGTTTGTATGAATATTATGTTCACAATTGCATTCTTCCAAGAGTGTTTGAAAGAAATATAAATGGAAAGGGTTAGAGAGAGAGAGAAAGATTTTAACAAGTGTTAATGAGAAGGCCACTTGGCCCGATGAAAAGGATAGCGCACCATCTTGATTCATCATTAAATTTAGATTTTTTATGCTACTTTATGGCTGATATGATTAATATTGAGAACGAAAGTAGATCAAGGAAGGGACTTTTTTATAGTAATAGTTTTGCATTTGCTTTGTTTTACACTAGAGAAGACCGATATATTAGTTAATTGTACATATTTATATATTTACATATACATATATCAAATAATCATCACGTTGGTTGGCGAAGAGGAAGTGTGTAAGAGAGAGAGATTGGGGATTGGGGGAGGCCAGGAAATGGGAAGTAATATGCATTTAGTGAATTTTATGGAAACAAAAAAAGCAGACAAATGGGACCAGAAAAAGAAAGTGAAGATAGCCTTGGCTTATTGTTACACCAATGCTTGGACCGTGTGATAAAGCTGCATTAAGATTTGAATATGAATTGGTAAACATGATAGTCGATCATGAGTGGCTGGGTCTAGAGAAATCCATGAAAGTGAATTGTATCCTTCAAGAACGTACCTGTGAACATGAAATAAATAGAGAAGTGTCAGTAAAAATTGTATAAATTATTTCCAAATTAGAAAATCAGATTATAGGAAATTTTTACCTTAATACATCTGTAGTCAGATTAGAATCAAGTGGATGACAATTTCTGTTGTTCATACAAAAGTCATCATTGTTTTGTTGCACAGATGGTGTGTGGATAAGTAATGCCGACTGAAAATGGTAGAGAAAAAATTAGTAAACTCTTTTAGTTATGGTTCCAAAAAAATTGAAGCACACGCGAAGAAATAGAATTCAAATTTTTGACATCTAATACTTGAACGATCACTATGAAACAACTTGAAGATTTGGAGAGAAGTCTACTGATAATACTAATGGACTAAGAGCTACAGAGCAAATCATTTCAATGATGTTTAAAGAAGATCTTTTGATAAGAAAATTTTGGCTATTTCTGACTAACTGGGTATTAGATATTAAAGTTATGAATTCAATTTCGATAGATATAACATAATAATGAAACTAACTTTTAAGAAAGCAGGATTCATATCAGCTAAATGGGGACATGAAGACCAGAACCATTTCGGTAAAGGACCGGTTTGCGCAGTTGACACGTAATAACCTAACGCTAATGGCTGTTGCAGCAAATTGGTTGGATCATCACCAAGATCGCCTCCAAAAGAACTCTAAATTGAAAAAAATAAAAAATTCGTTAGAATGTACAAAATTGAGGAAATATAAAACGGTTTTTGAACATCAAGTAATAACATTGTATTGAACTCTTAGTTAATTGTTGCAACATTCAAACCCAAGTTCAATTATAGATACAAAAGTTGGACAAGCAAGAAACCAAAACTAGAAGCCTTAGAAAATAATCAATTTTGAACGGTAATTAGTCTGTCCAGTTCTTAACAGTCGATTCTAATTGACAGTTTGCTTTGTAACTCTTCAAGGTTCAATGAGTTTTTAATGTAACAATAACCATTTTTGCTTTATTTTGCAAATTATGTATTCTAATGATTTCATTGAATCAAGGTCAGCAAAAAGAGTTACTTTTCAAGGCCAAATGGTCATTCGTTTTCTCATCTTTCAATTTAATGAAATGCGAACGAAGTATGAGATTGAAAAATTATTCAATTTTTGCTGATAGTATTTAATACTATATTAAAAATAAACAAAAAATGTTTTATTGCCCACGTTGTTTTTGATTCACTGAGCTAATTAAAAAAACCGTTGAAAGCTTTTTTCTATGTTAAATATTCTTGGAATAAATTAATAAGCTGATAAAAAGGTAAAATTGAAAAGGCGAATCGGAGATTAAGTTAATGTTAAGATAGACATGAAGATATTATAGGTGTTTTTACTCGATTTGTTCAAAATGTTCAACTATTAAAATACATTACCTTCATATTCATATCAAAGCCAGATTGTCTTGGATCATCTGAATGGTTTAGGCCCTGATCTCTTGATCCTGGACTACCCGTCGGACTTTCAGTCCATTGGAAAAGATCAAGCTCATCGTCGACAGGAAGATCCTCTGTTCCTCCATCTGCACCTAAAGCTTGTAGAAGATCATCTTCATTGATACCGCCGATGCCTCCATCACCTATGCCGAAACCAGCTTGAGATGATGAAGAGGCAGCAGAAGTTGGAAAGACCAGAATATGAGTACAAGATGCTTCTTCAGGAGTGCTGAGGTGACAAGTACTAGATGAACTGTTATATTTATCATCTGGTGTAAAATGATCAGGAAAAACTCTAAGCGCAGTGTCAGCCTCTAAAGATACCAAACAAGCTGAAAGAATAGAAGGTATCTCATAAGGAGTCATCATTGAGCATTGGCGACATTTATCGCGTAATAAGCGGCTATAACGTTGAAGTGATTTTTTACTGAGCAATGAATTCCACTCTCTTAACTCTCCATGTCCAACTCGTCCAAGTCGACCAATCACTAATCTCCAAGGTTGAACTGTTTCAGTCATAACTGAGAAAATAAACTCTAATATTTTAAGCAGACCAAATTTTTTGGCAGATGCTTTCTTTCTTCTAGTTCGATTGGGAATTTCGATGTTGATCAATGTAGATTCGAGAAGATCACCTTTGTCATTTGAGCAAGTCACAACTAACCATTTTTGATCTTCAGTGAGACAATAAGCACAATACAAGATTTGAGATTTTTCCCTCCCATCACCAAACATTTCACCAAGCTCAGTTTGTTTATCTTTGAGAGGAGCCAAAATGTAAGGAGGAGTATAAACGCGAGTAATCGACAGGTTTGGATCCTTAGATTTGAGAAAAACGTCTAAAGAAGCAGCTGGACCAAAGCCGGTTAACGATTTGGACACAGAATGATGAATGAGAACTTTTCGACATTGATTAAATACGGAGAATGCTAAAGCTTTCAGTTGATCTTGACGTTTGGACCCTCTAAAATCTTCTCCAACACCAAGAATAGAGTCTAGAGATACTAGTTGGAGATTGATGCTGTTATGAAGATGTTCTGGTAAAAAGTTTAACATTTGTGCATAGCATCTAAGTAGTCCAAGGCAGGAAAGGCGGTAAACTTCTTCATCCATATTGGCAAATGTGAAAGGCTCAACAATATAAATTACAATGACTGGTTGTTTATTTGGATCATCATCTAGCTCGGAAGTATCTTGAAGATGTGAAGCTGTGTAACCAGATCCTTGACTTGCCCCTTCATTCATTTCATCATTCATCTTAGAATCATTCGTATTACTTAAGTCGGGTGGATGATGTGGTGAAGCTGTTGGAACTCGATTAGCATTGTTCAAGTTAGAATTAAAATCTGGTTTGGGAGAAGAATTGTCAAATAATGATTTGTCCAAAGTCTGCGAACTCAAGTAAGGAGCAACATAATATCGACAAGCGCGTGCATAAAGTTTGATTTTTGACGCCACACTTCCATCGCCAATCTGATTAAACCAATCATCAATAGGTTCATTTGCAATATTTTTCGCCACCGTTTTTCCAACTCGCATAATACCGTCTCTCATTACCTTGGCTATTGGACAATGTCGACCAAGTCGCAACATTTCATAAGTTGTACTTAACTCTTTGAAGTAGGTTTTAACTCGAGATAAAACATAAGTATCATCGGGTGCTAACACAAGATAAGCAACATCTCGTGTCACTGAGTAAGGTTCTAACATTAATTTTTCCCAGTATTTAAGAGCAAAAGGAGATAAAGCAACCCAATCATTATCATGTCCGACCAATAAGGATGGAATAGGTTGAGGTTCGCATTGATCTTCAGATCGTCCAGCTAAACGATGGAATTGTCTCCACGTTAAGGGACCAGAAACGGTATAAGTAACTTCCCACATAGCTTGAGGTTTCTTTGTAACAGATTTTTGAAGTAAAGGAGTTAGGTTTCTCAGCAATCTTACAACATCCAGATTATTTGGTGCTGTTGAACCATTATTGAAAGACCATTCGTGTAAACATGATGCTTTCCGATTTAATCTCTCAGGTGTATTAAGTTGTTGAAGAGCCATTTTTGAAAGTTGACCATTCATGACTTGCTTGGGTGCAACTAAAGCTGTGTAAGCAATCTCACAACCATCAGACCTCTGTAATGCATTTGAACGGAGAAGGAAAGCTTTCTTTGTGACCACTTTCATGGAATTTAATAGAACTGGGATGGATATTGATGAATTAATGTTGACCATATCGGAATCATCTTTGTTTCGTAATGATTCAAATATAGCTGCTTTGGCTAGTAAGGAACTAGATGAAAATAAAGTTGAGCATTGACTCCTTAAAAGGTTCACTAAGCTGGCGTCTAATTGATCGTTCTCATATAGATTTGTACTTGGGGTAACCATTTCTTTACCATCGATATTTTGTTCTTGCTTTATTGAAATCTCACTTTTGATCATTGGTTTCTTCTCTAATCTCTCAAGAGGATCATATACAACACCAGTAATCTCAATTTCATCTTCATAAAACAGCCCAGCAAAATAGCTTCGATGACGATTGGCAACAGCACTAAAACCACAAGTACACTTATATTGAGGTTCATCTGAGTCACTAGGAACAAGGGATTCAGGTAAGTAAATTCCGACATCTGATCCTTTGATGTTACCATTACAGGCGCATAAGGTACAACTTTCAAAATTATGATCTTTAAATAAGTTAAGCATAGAATCGGATAAAACTAGATTGATCAATAAGCAATGAGCATCTGGAATTGTCGGTAAGGCTGGACTTGTGGCAGGTAAAGGCGGCCTCCCTGATATTAAAGGAGCTTGATGGGAATGAACATCGTAAGGAAGCGATCCTAATGGACCAGAAATGTTACCAATGGAAGATGGTGGATGATGACCAGGATGAGAGGAATTATTTCCAGGTATTTGATGATGGTATGGAGGATGATTAACATTTGCAAAAGGTGTTTGAGGTCCATTGCTGTCCATGATAGGTGAAAAACAAGGATGACCTGGTGATATCATTCTATCGCCTGGACCATAGGAATTGGGGAATTGAGGGTTCATATACATGTTGGGTGCTTGTTGGTGACCTTGGATGAAAGGTGGAACTTGATGGTTCGGCGGATAATTTCCTCGTATATTATTGGTGGGTCTCATCATTCTGACACCAGATCCCATGATTGGAGGGTTTTGATGCACTTGAGAGTTGGATGAAAATGGACCGGAACGATTCAAAATCATGTTTTGATTCTGTCCAGGATGATGATTAATATGATGATGTGGACTTTGTTGTGATGAATAATGAGAATTCATTTGGTGAGAAGAAGGGATCATTCCAGGATGTGTATGATGAGGCTGCACCATTGCATTTTGTTGCTGGCTATTGCCGCTAGAAAAACAAAAATAATGTACGTCAGAAATATAATGATAAACAATTAACAGCAAAGTTAATGAATATTTCATTCAAACAATAATGGTTAAAAAATGATAATAGATATTAAATATTATAGAAAATTGAATGATTCGAAACTTTTTGCCAGATAAACGAATAAAAAAATAAAATTCATTAAAGTTTATTTTATTGCAGTATCAATGTTTTTGTAACCAATGATGAATCAATTCATAAACTCCACATGTATGCACATTTCATTAATCATTGATTGATTAGAGAATAATGTCTACTTAATTGTTAACCAGGATCTGATAGATTTAAACTGAATTACATAAAGATACTAACAATTGTTATATTTCAAAATATTTTCAAAGGTGCATTAACTGGAAATATGAGATCATGTCACTTCAAAAAACTAGACCAAAGCAAATGGTCTAGTTATTGGAATCTGGTTGACATAATTAGCGAATTGGATGAAACTAAATCAAGAAAAAAAACCCATAAAAGTAGAATGATCTAAAACCTGATTATTTCAAGAAACTTTTGAAGCGCTCACTTGTTCGCAAGTCCAGATAAGTTAGCCTTTTCAAACAGAGAATTGATACTATTTCTAAACTCTTACATCAAAAATTTATCTGTAAATGAATTTTCATTTCAAAATTGAAAAGTTCGAATACGGAAGTTTAGCTCTTTAATATTCAACTATAACATTTTAGTTTCAATCCTAAATGTAGACATGAGAACGTATAACAAATTTTTAAACAGTTACTTCACACAATCAAACTACTTTGGGCCATTGAAGAAATAAGCTTGCGCAAAATAATCTTTTCACTTTTCATCTCTTATACACACTTTTCACCATCTCTCCCTGAAAGACTGAAAAAGTCTGGATTTTTTTCTCTTTTCCCTCTTTCTTTTACTTTTCTCTTCCTTTTTTTATATTTCATCCATTCATCAAAAATGTTTGACGCGGCATCTTATTGTGCGCAAAAACCTTGAAAATGCGACAATGTTTGTGACTTGAAGATTTTTTCAAGTCTGTGTAGATAATTCATATCATGGGACTTTTATGTAGACACTTTCAATTTTCTTAAGAGAAAATTAGCCTGGAAGAACTAAGAAAATTACAGGCAAATGAAAAGTGGGAGAAAATGATATTGAGCACACACTGTTGCTTGCTATCCTGAGCAAAGTCTTGGATAACAAAGAGATACAGAATAATTTGCTTCAAATTAATCGATACTTACAACTGATGTAAGTAACCAGAAGATCTATTTGTTTGGTTGGATTGAGATGGAGATATCAGTCCAGTGGATGGTCCATGATGTGATAAAGATGGATTTTGTTGAGATGGATGATGTGCATGTTTATCCCTGTGAAAACAACAAAAATATTATGATAAAAATTTGCACTCAGAAAAGAGATGATCCATGAATAAAACAGAAAACTATGCAAATCAGGATCGATCAGAAGTTGAATTTCGCTGCATATGTTCAACAACAAAAATGTAAATGTAAATCATAAAACCAGATTGTTCTACTTTCTGACAATATCTATCAATATTTAAATAGCTAAAGCGATGTGAATAATATTTCACTTGATGAGGACAAATGAGCAAAAATAGTTATTGCCATCAAATTTAAAAAAATAGATAAATATTGAGAAATTTAAAAACAAGTAGAACGGATTGTAATAGCAATGTAGCGGATGAAAAGTAACGTACGAGTATAAATGATTTGGTTGTTGATAATGATGATGAGAATGAGATGGATGAGGTTGCTGTTGATTTTGTTGTGAAGGATGATGTTGAGTTTTAGATTGACTTTTAACAGTTTGAAAAGGCAATGAAGGCTCTTGTTGTTTATATACACAGTCTGGTCGAGGTTTGTATTGAGTAAGACTTGCGACATCGGTTAACGGGGCATATTTGGAAGAAGTTAAAAATTTACACTGAATAGGTGGTTTATAAACATAAGACCAGTCTTTTGCACTGTCAAGGCTTGTTGGACTATTTGGATATGCGTCCAGTTTTTCACGGGCATTGTCGTCAATAAGTGTCATATCAATACCTCCAAGAGTGTTGCATGGTGAAGGTGCAGTGTTGATCTCCATTGATGGTGGGGTTGGAAAGATCATTGTCAATTCAGCTAGAGTTGATGAATTGCTTCGATTGTTTGTTTTTGAAACATCCTCTAATCCTGACAACAAATTGGTATTACCGTTGATTTGAGGAATACCGATTTGAGATTTGTTTACTTTTGGAGCATTTGGTGTTGAAAATTCACTGCTACTTTCTTCATCCGATGATGAACTAAAAAGGTAATTCAAATCATCATAACTAACTTTCAACTCCTCTTCTCGTGTGAACTTTTTCTGGGTTTTAGGAGATGCAATGGACGAATCTTCCACTCCAGCTGGAGCATTACTCTTTGGCCCCTCTTTGGATACAATTTGATCTTCTTGATTAGCAGAAGAAAGTTGGACTGCTGATGGTGCAATTACTTCCGCGGGTCGAGTTGTTATATCACTAGAACATTCAACTCTAACTTCTTCTTCAGTCGGTTCAACTTTAAAATCGGAAAATTCTTCATCATTAAATTCATAAGGATCTCTTGGCTTTAGGCAACTCATATCTAATAAATGATCATTAATATCTCTAAGTATTTCAGGTCGATTTAATCCTTTAATTACTCTACGATTCTTTGGCGTCGGTATATCCCAGATATTTGTAACGGTATCAACAACGCTAAAATCATAGAGCAACTTTTTGCACTGACCAATATCATTCTCGTTCATATCGCCAGGAAGCATTGGTCTTTTGAGAGAATTTGGACCATTTGCTCCAGTCTCTTGTTTATCAGATGAATTTTGCGGTACATTTTGTTGGAGATTTGTATCACTATCATTTGTTTTTGCTTGCTGTCCACCATTCATCGGCGTCCTAGGATTTGCACTACTAACAGCTGGAGACCCTGTCCCTGTTCCAGCGCCTTTAACGGACCCTGGATGAGGAGACATACCATCAATATTGTTTTTGTTTGTGTCTTTGGGATCATTAGAGCAAGGGTCTTGCTGGTAAATATTCCCATCATCACGAACGGGATGAGGTGATATAGAAGATAAATTAGCATCTAAGGGAAGAGCAGAAGCTGGTCCGTCACTGAATGGAGCACATGAACGTGGCGAATCTATGGCGGTACCTCCTGGAGTTGTTGCATTTGATTGTATTGATGGCAAACCACTCATACCGGGAGATTTGTATAAATAACTAGGTGTTTTGGGTTGTTGAACTGATGGAGGTTGTGTAATTGTTGCATTATTTCCCAAGGATGATGATTTTTCACCGCTGGACGAGTTATTATTGTTGTTACAATTTTCTTGGACTGTAGAAATATCGAGTTCTTCAAAAAACATTGGTCGACGATGGAAAGGATTGACACTTTTGTTCGTAGATTTTTGATTTTGTCTTTCTTTATCATTTTTGTCAAATTTTTTGTTTGTCCCACTTCCAGAAGAACCGTAGAATGATGATGTATTATTCAGAGATTTTGAGTTGACTGAGGTTTGATTGTTAGATTTTTTTGTTTTACAACGATGACAAGAACAAGGTACTTTTGCTGAAGGATCACAGAAATCCCATTTAGCGAGAGCAGCAACAAGATCATCTCCTAAGGCTGTAACTGGACTCGTCGATGAAAGAGCTGAGGATGGAAGAGTAGGATTACTCGTATTTGGAGTAACTAAATTGAAAAGAACAAAAAAAGTATATTAGAGAAGTTGATTTAGTTGAGGAAAGAAAGAGTGAGTCAAAAGGAAACACCAAACGTAATTGAGATTGATTTGTAGATTTTTATGCGATAAGTAGAAACTTTACAACGATAGATACAATTGTTGCAACAGTTACAAGAGTCTAGAAATTGTTTCAATCTAGTCAACTTTCCATGCAATAAAGCTAAGATTATAGTTTTTAGGAAAGATAATGAAATAATTGTACATCTGATACACTTATGATAATCTTAGTCTACCTAAGTAAGTAGTTTTTGATTCAAGGATAAATTTATGGCTTATTTGATTCAAAGAAACAAACCAATATGAGCTACAAGTTAACCATGCAGTCTAATGAATTATTTTACTGAGATTAAAATAAAAGTTCTAGCTAATAAAGAAGATTTCCCTTTTCTATTGAATAAAATTATATGAATAGTGTAAAGTCACTCTAACGGTTAATAATTGAAGCAAATAAGGAAATTTAAATGAAATGAAAATTTGGATATCCGAATAGTACCTTTGCCAGATACAAGGGTTGTAGTAGCAGAGCTACCACCGACTGTTATGCCATTTGATGTATTTGTTGTGGTTGCTGATGTTGGTATTGTTGTCGATGAAGATGTTAAACTTGATATTGGGGTTGGTGTTGAAGTGCCAGAAACTCCTGTCACTCCTAAATTTGAATTGGGAGTTGATGTCGGATTCGCCGATGAAATGGATGGTGATGATGCTGTAGTACTAGCAGTTGATATTGTTACAGTTGCAGTGGTTGTGGAAAGTGAAGATGGAGATGTTGTGGGTGACGATGATGCTGCAATAGTTGATGATGAGGCTAAAATAAGAAGGAAATCGAAAACAAAGTTATTAATTCGAAGGCTCATAAAACAAAATACCAACAAGTATCTAATCATAATGACAATGATAAATATTTATGCTTTCAAATTATTCAAGATTCAATGTCATTCAATGATCTAGTATATTTTTAAAAGTTTTATAGCTACAATACTCACTTGAATTTTGTTCAACTGGTTTACTTGATTGATGAGACATATTCATCTCTTGAAAGGCATTATTCCTAATACGGCAAGTTGATGAGGGTATTTGAGGCTGGATAGGCGATAAAATTTGTGAACGTACACGATTTGTATTGATTGCTAAATAAGATTGATGTAGTTCTGGTGGTGTATTCGGTGGAGTCAATAAGTTTACTGTTGGATTGCTTGTTTGCTGTTGTGTCTGTTGTTGTTGTGATTGAGTTGGTTTTGGTGTTGGTTGTTGTGTTTGTTGTGACTGTTGCTGTTGAGAAAACTTGGCATCTCTTGAGGTGCTCTTAACACTATTGTCATCGGTCTTTTTAGCATAATTTTCAGGAACAATATAAATATAAGAGGATGGATACTTCATTTTGATACCAGCAACACTGACTTCAACAACTGATGGCAATGATAACGAAGATGCAGATGAAATAGGATCATTTATAACGCCAACAGAAACATCGTCATAACAATCAACATAAAAAGGAGGTGTAACATTGATAGGTGCTTGTCGGTTGTTGGAACTGCTGCCATTGCTGTTATTTCCATTAATACTTTGTCCAGACTTAGAACTTTGAAGGTTTAAAGGATAAAACTTTTCCCATTCTTGTAAAAGTCTCTGTACTGATTGGTCAGAATCTTTGAAAGTTTGTCCCGTTACAATACCAGCCACACCATACGGACTTAGTATAACATTAAGGCCACACGAGGATCCCTGAGCGGCCAGAAGGTTACGCCGGGCTAATCTGAAAACAGGCGGAAGTACTCGAACATCTACACTAGCACAAACTGTGCTTTCTCCATGTACAAAAAAGTTAAAGGCGAATGAAAGCTGACTTGAAGAACTTCTATCATATGAAGGTAATGTTGTCGGTGATGATGGTGATGATGAGCTAGATGAGGTTGAAGCTGATGATGAAACTGGACCCATGTCAGGGTTAAAGCTTGCATTAGACCCTTCATCTGGAGGTATATCAGACTCAAATGGTTGTAAAAACCATTTTCCTATTCGAGCAAAACCTCGAGACAGAAGGCATCTTTCAATCAAATTGTGGAAAGCTTTGAAAAGTAGAGTTCGACATTCATAAGAAAGCCCATTTTCCCATGAACCTTGTTCAGCTTCAATTAATTCATTAGGAGATAATTTAGATACATCAGGTTCCTCTCCGTACCAAAATATCCACAATTCTTTACTATAAGCTGGATGCCCATCTTGACCGGAACCACTTTTTGCATTTCCCCCTCCACCTCCACCGCCAACAATTGATGCATCAGCAGACCCTAGATGACCACTGTTACACTTATTATTAGCAACTCTTCTCCACACACAAAGTAGTTCAGCTGCTAAACACTTGCTGAATGATTTAAGTACCGGATCATCGAGTGGATCACCAGTTGCCGAAGGTAACCAAGTCTCTGGTGTTATTAACCTTTTCCATTTTATCCCACAAAGATCGGCCAAAGCAAAAAAATTGGTGTAACAATCTTCAAGGCTGGCACCGTTGGTGATATTAGGATGGGTCATATCTTTTTCAGTGGCTCCGAGCAATTGCTCCTTGGCTGTGTTTCTTGGCCGCTGTATCACTGGAATAACCTTAACCATTAAAGAAAATTAAGCGTTCAAGAAGGAAAAATAAAAAGGTGAATGGCGATATTCAAAAATATAAAAAGTTTAACAAATTTAGATCAACATGAATTGGCCTGGACAGGCTTCACAATCACAAATTTACATTCCATTTACATGCTAAATTAGTGATGAAAATGATGATGGTGATGAGATTAATAGAAAGAAAAAGAGGAAGATGGAAAAGGAGAAAAAATAATGTGAGGAAAGGTAACGAAAAAAAGAGAGGCAGAGAGGAAGAGAGAGAAAGCAAGAAAGAGATCAACCAATAGGAGAAAGAAAGAGAAAGAGAAAAGAAGAAGCAAGCTCACTCACACATTCAAACAGACAGATAAACAGACAGGCAAACAGACACAGAGATATACAGAAAAAAATTTACGCATTTTATCAGAAAAAAAACAAAAGACTATCAGTTTCTTACCTTAATTGGACCATTAAATTAACTTGATTCCAAGTTAGTAACCAATATTTTACTGACCACATAAATAGGCTAATTAATCAATGATTAAAGTAAACCTCCAAAAAAAATGAAAACAAATGACAGATTATAGTAGTAGTGAGAGAAAGAGAGAGAGGCGAGTAAAAAAGAAAGAGAAAAAGAAAGAGAAGATCAAAGTAAAATGAAAATGGAGTGTATCTGTGATCAGAGCCGCGAGATGTCAGTGATGCACCGGTATAGAAATCTGTAAAAGTTGATTAAGCTAATGAACCTGAGAAGTTAAAGCTGATGATGAAGATTAATCAACTAATTAATTGATACACTTTGAGATTATCGGTTGATTTTAATATGAGACAAGGCTTGAACACTAATAAAAACTTTAACTTTAACCACAGTTTCAAATTAAAAGACACAAAATAAAAAAGGAAAACGTATTCAGCTTTCAGTGTTATTATTGTTGTTGAAGCAATACTTGAAGCCTCCGTTAGCCTGCTTTTTTACTACAAGAATTGGTTACCCAAAAATGACATTTCTCCCTCCACACTGCCATCTGTTGAACATTAAACCATTAACTAAATTCAAAATTCAAATTCTTTTTAACATTTAATTTATTTATTGGAATAATTTTAATCATCAAATCTACCATTACTTTTATTTTATTAAAATCATCACTCCCTATCTTAGAGTTGACATTAAATCTTGTGTTACCTAGTGATTTTTATTCTTATTCACTTGTTATCGACAACAATTGTTATTTTTTGCTAACAACTGTGATTTTCACAATTTACTCGCTTTATTTGGTTATCAGTGATTCCAAATGGATAAGATATTTCATTGACAAAGAGTCTTGCCTTTTTTTGTGACTTAATTAATTTTCATTCACTTTTCGTCTTTTTGCCATCTTTAATTGGTGATTTTGATGTCCTTCAACAAACACATTTTAATCAAGCTTCACTCTTCTGTTTCTCCCCACCATCTTTCCTCCACTAAGCTTGACTTTTTTTCTTTTTTTCTTCCTCTCTCTCTCCTCTTACTCATTCTTGTCTGCTCTTCCATCCTTTTCCCTCCTCTTTTCGTACCTAATACTTCAGGTCAGGTTGTTGAAAAAGTTTATTACCCTGAAAAGGGTTTATTCACTCTTTTTGGAGTAAGACTCTAATGTAAGAGTAACTAAGGCGTTAGTTACTCTATTGATTGCATCAACTTACTCTTTCTCTTTCTCTCGTCTTCGTCCTTTTCTCTCTCTCCATTTCAACTCTTTCTGTATCTAATTTGTGATAGTTTTTTCAGCCACGGATTGAAAAAAGACATATGACAAATTGTCCCAGTAATCTATCGATTTATCGTCTCACTTGTCTTGATTATTCTCATAGACTGTATAAACTGAAACTTAAACCTTTGTCTTTGCGTGATTTTTGTTCAACACTTTTTGTTTTATTAATTACACAATGATAAATTACACAACATAAGCTGTAAACTGATGTTTCGCCTCATTGTATCATTGATTATGCCTTGTGAGTGAGTTACTAGACATTTTTTTCCAGGCTTTTCCCTTGATTCTGGTTTTACACACTTTTGCTATGCAAGCTTATTTATTAATATTTCAATCTTTAGACTCAATTTTTTATCTCAATATACATTTGAATTGAAGCTTACTTGAAACAATTTCCAGCCATTTTGATTAGCTATTCTGATTAAGTTGCCATTCTTGTTACCAATTGTCATTCAGTCGACAAAACTTAACATAAGATTTACAAAGAGACTCAATAATTAGCTGACTGTCACGTAGACTCTAACCATTCTTCAACAATCACTAACATTTGTGAGAAAAAAATCTCTTTTTTATTCAGAATCTGATATCAAATGATCAGTGGTTACTATTGCAGTACAGATTCCAAGCCAAGAATAGAACAGAAATAATTTTTATATCAATGATAACAACACACTGTAGGTTTCTTATCAATTTAATAGTTCTCTGTTGATTTTCAACACTTAAGCGTGATTGTGAACTTTTTGATTTAAATATCATTTGTTCAAAAATGAACTTTCACTTTCAAATTAAGATACATTTTTGCTATCCGTTGTTTTGAATTGACCAATTTTAAAAGACGCTTTCCTCTTTACATTAAGCCAACCTAGTTTGATGTCCTAAATAGACCCAATCCAATAATGTCAACTTCGGTAAATAAAAACCGTTTTTTACGCATTCAATCCCCAAAGTCAAATGGTATCCAAGAAACTGCAGTTGGATAAACTTGGCCAAATTGATAAACTCATCGGGACTTCACAGTTTTACAGCCTAATTTTAGGTCAACCATGAGCAAACCACTCGCCTATCCTCATCATTGTGTCAACTTTGCCACATTTGCTTCTGGATCAATTTGAGATTTCAGTGTTCACTGTTTCTCCAGGAAATAAACATTTATTTGGTTGATCAAACCTAGTTTTTGGTTTGAATAATCAATTCAATCAATTGAACAATTCAAACGCCAACTCTTTCTTTCTCTTGATTTGAAGTTATCCATAAAACGGACATAATATTCAGCTATTCTTGACTTGAAAGTCTAATACAATTCATGATTTGCTTAGCAAATTTTAAAGTTAAAGTTTCACTGTCAAGGTGTTTGTTGGAAGCAATGGCGATGTCTGTCTTGATAACATCAGAGGTTTCTTAATTGTGTGAAAATGAATAGAAATGGTGCGATGATAAAATAATGACATTGTTTCATTGGGATAGATGAAGATGATCGTGATGAAACGTAATTACCAGGATTATTCATTACCTTGACTGGATTAAATTAACAATACAAAGTGAGATTAGATGAAATGATGACAATTTTAACATTACAACCAGAATCTTAGTGAAAACTGTTAATGATGGTCTTTGGATAAACCCATTTACTGAAACAGTGAATTCAATTTGATAAGCTCACAATCAACAGTGTTTATGGCCATAATTATTGTAATTTTAATCTCCTACTTTTATAACTTTGACAGTTAATTGCATTACATAACAATGACAGTCAATATTGACAATAAATGATCATTTTAATGAGACAATCAATGCTTATTTATACTCTTATGATGTAAATTAGCAATTTTAGATGCAAAAATACGATGTAAATTCAAATTGAAATTCAAAAGGAACATCAAAAAGTAACTAATTCCCAACTTGAAAAACGTGATCAATATTTACACAGATTATGTTCATTAGATAATTTACCGATCGAATAGCAGATTACAGGGAATCTGATCGTTCAGACATGATTATGAGTTATCTTCGAGAAAAACAATTACACTTTTTATGTTGTTTACAATTACTTTGAGCAATGATTTTATAGTTAAAATGAAACAATAATCACACAAACAATGTTCAACCAGAATTAATCGACATCCAAATATTGACTTGAAGAGTGAATTAGATTTAACTGGACACAAATCAGTCGTGAAGATTAAAATAATTATGATGTCAAGAAGGGCGATTCCAAAAAATGAATGGATCAAGAGATAATCACAAATTATCATGATATTAGCATTACAGCTTCATTGGTGCTTTTTCCTGGATTCAATCCAAACGACAGTAATTATTAGAGTCCAGTATAAGCCGAGAAGAGACGGGAAAGCACACTGTTGCTTTTGGGTCCTTTGGGTGTTGCTCCAGATTCTGGTAATAAGGCTTTACACTGGTCTGTCTTGGGATTGTAAGAGGGACAAACAATGTCTGGTAAGCGAGACAAAGACATGCGTAGGATTATGTCCATAAACTCAACCGCTTCCGATCCACATTTTGCTTCAACTTGAGTCTCTGTACATTCTTGGAATCGACGATAAGCACAACAACCTGTAGGAATACGTTGATCCCAATCAACTTGTGAAACCGTCTCTAAAGCTAACTGCAAGTCTTTGATGCACGTTTTACGGTTTGCTTGTGTGGCTTGGTTAAGACACTCCGAGTGTTTAAGGTAACTTTGTCGCAATTGGCTTCCACTGGTACAATATTCATTCAATAATCTTGTGCTTCCTTCCGTAATGAATGTTATTAGATCCCGTTGAAGTGAAGTCGCACATTTACGCGTGAAATTTTTCAAACACATGTCAGCTTCTTTCAAGTAACCACATTGTTTATCAAGCTCAACATCATTTGTGGCGATTCCTAAATGAAATTCGATAAAAAAATATATAAATATGAGTTGAATAAGGCCAAAGAATGATCAAATCTAAAGTTTACATCATTCCTGATTGATCCAGTAAAGTCAATTGAATACTTTACCTGAAGGGTTTTGGGTAAACACTAGAAGAGTTGCTGCACATAAATCCAATTCTCGAAGGTGACATGTTTGACTTGATGCTTTGCCAATGGCTATAATTGAATAGAAAATGATTTGAAATAAAAAATTAGACACAAACAATCAGGATAACATGACAATTGATTCATAAATCAATAACTAATTAATAGAACTGAAGATGTTTCAATAAAAAATATGGATAAAACGCCAAAGGTTAATATTTGCTTGAGTTGAAGACAAAACACAATATATTTTCAATGTAATAGTAATATTAATCAACTTACAAATTAAAAAGATACAGAAACACAGTTGGATAAAATTCATGATTTTTTGTAGTGAAAGTCGAGTATTCAAAACAAGAGTGAAATGGCAAAAGACGCTTAAGATGAATCACGAATCTTAAATATTGAATTACTTGAAGTCAAGTAAAATTAGTGAAGTTAGATTAATATGAATATTGAAACAGTTAACGAAAAAGAGAAACTAAATTGTAAACAATTAATCGGATCAATTGATTCAAATCACTGATGTACATTCACAAGTGTAGATCAAGAAGGAGAGTTGAGGAAGAAAACGGTTAACAAGAAGAAATGAAGACAAAGTCAATGTTCAACTGGTTGCTATTATTGATATTTCAATAATTAGTAAATTAACAGTTTAACAATTTGACTAACAGTTGGTTGGTACCAAATTTAACAATAAACTAAAGACTAAACTTATCAAGCAAAGCTATATTTAAATGCTTTTAAAATTGAGTTACATTAACAATCGTTCAAGTTGTAACAAACCAAGTTCAATCGTGAGAAAACATGAATTATTGAGATAAAGTTTTGAATGATCTTCGAACTAATTTTTGATTGTTTTGACGAAATTTTAGTTGAATAGCGACACTTCATTGATAAACTGTTTCGTCCATCTAATTCACCATTTCACCATTTCGTCCATCACCGACTTAAGTTTTTTGGCCATTTACTTAGTATATCCAAGGACCAATGCTGAAGCAAGGTGTTACTAAAGAGACGCAATGGTCGATCTAAAATGATGCTAAAAAGAAACAGAAACAAATGAAAAAAAACACATTTATGCACAAATACAAACAAATGATCAAAACGGGCTAAAATAAATTTCTTTACAATTTGCACTCTGTAAGCTTGTAGGTACATAAAAACTGAGTCCATTTGTGTGATTTAAAGATTTCTCTGATGAACAGATTTCGAAAGAATCAAGTTAGAAGTTGAATCTTCGATCGCTGTTTGTACAATTATAGAAGCAAATTTTTTCATAAAACTTATAGTGAATGATGTAAATTTTGATGCCTAACGAGAAAATGCGCTTATTTACAGAAATAGAACTTTTGATTTTCTGTAAAACAGATTAGATCGATTTTTAGTTAAACCGATCGTTTTCCGTGACCATAATAGTTGAAGAGCTGAAACTTGGTATTTGTTTAGAAAAATTGTTGGCCTGCATCATGGATCAAATATATTTTTCAAATTAGCAACCGTTATCGCGATTTTGGACATTGACCAGAGAACTTTGAGCTTCGATATTTCGAGAATGGAATCACTTACAATCATTATTCTTTCACTAATTTAATTCTTTACTGATTGCTAGTTCAATTCAATTTAAAAACTTTCCATTAGCGCATTTGGATTATTATTATTGGACTTTAAATGAATGAGCAACAACTTATTTAACAAAACAAACTCATCTTAACCCATTTCTTGCTAAATAAACCATTTTTCTGGTTAAACTTAAGTAAGGTAACAAAAGTAACGCAAAAACTACTGCCAAAGGCTCGAACATTTTGTGTTAGAGTTGAGACTATGTGGGGTTTGTAGAGACAAGAAAACTGAGTCCATTGGTCTCATTAAATACTTCGTTCGATGAACAGTTTTCTGTAAAATCGAGTTCAAAGTTAAAACTTCGATCGCCTTTTTTTCAGCTATTGGAACAGACTTTTGCATGAAACTTATTTCACTGATGTGTATTCTGATGAGAAACTAGAAACTGGACTTATTTCGATGCATAAAATTTTCTTTTTCCGTAAAACAGATCAAGTTCGATTTTTAGTTAAATCGAATTCTTCTTGTAACCGTAAGAGTTAAAGAGATGAAACTTATTATGTGTGTTTAAATGTTGTTGGTACACATTTATGACCGAAAACTTTTTTTCAATTTACGAACAGTTCTCTTGATTTTGGCCATTGACCATAAAACTTTGAGCCTCAGTATCTCGGGAACGATAATGTATACAATCATCATTTTTTTACGCAAAATTAGCTTTCATTGTGGGCTACAATATGTTGAAACATTAAAATACTCAAGGTCTTATCAAAAAAGTTATTGCATGGATTTACTTATGGTGTCAGATTTGAGACTTGATTATAAAGTTGAATGGATTCTAAAAACAAATCTCGTTAGAATGATCTCCATTATTAAATGCTCGTATTTCATTCAGTACTCAGTAATGTTTTATTATAGCGCATAATGAAATCTAATGTTTAGTGAAAGAATAATGATGTTAGGCCCCTCCATTCTCGAAATATCGAAACTCAAAGTTTTCTGGTCAATGTACAAAATCAAGAGAACTGTTGGTAGATTGAAAAAAATAATTGATCCATGGTTTGGACAAACAATTTTTATGAGTTGATAATAAGTTTCATTTCTCTAACTCTTACGATGTTAGAGAACGATCGTTTTACTAACGTTTAACTAAAAGTCGAACTAACCTGTTTTGCAGAAACACGAACATTTATTTCATGTATTAAAGTGCATTTTCGGGTTGACCACTAAAAGTTACATTAGTGACATGCATTTCATGCAAAAGTCTGTTCCAATAGCTGAAGAAAAGGCGATCGAAGTTATAACTTTGACCTCGATTTCCCAGAAAACTGATCATCGAACGAACTATTTAAAATAACCAATGGACTCAGTTTTCATGTCCATACAAACCCCATCAAGTCTCAAGTCTCGGCTCAAATGTTCGAGCCTTTGGCAGTAGTTTTTGCGTTACTTTTGTTAACTTACTTAAGTTTAAGCAGAAAAATGGTTTATTTAGCAAGAAATGGGTTGAGATGAGTTTGTTTTGTTAAATAAATTGTTGCTCATTCATTTAAAGTCCAATAATGATAATCCAAATGCGCTAATTGAAAGTTTTATAATTGAATTGAACTAGCAATCAGTAAAGAATTAAATTAGAGACAGAATAATGATTGTAAGTGATTCCATTCCCGAAATATCGAAGCTCAAATTTTTCTCGTCAATGTCCAAAATCAAGAAAACTGTTGATAAATTGGAAAAAGTATTTTCTCCATGATGTAGGTTAACAATTTTCATACACAAATAATAAGTTTCATCTTTCTAACTTTTACGGTCACAGAAAACGATCGGTTTAACTAAAAATCGATCTAATCTGTTTTACAGAAAAATAAAAGTTCTATTTCTATAACTGAGTGTATTTTCTGGTTGATCACTAAAAGCTACATCAGTGACATGCATTCCATGCAAAAGTCTGTTCCAATAGCTGAAAAAAAGGCGATCGAAGTTTTAACTTTGAACTCGATTTTACAGAAAACTAATAATCGGACGAAGTATTTAATGAGACCAATGGACTCAGTTTTCTTGTCTCTACAAACCCCACATAGTCTCAACTCTAACACAAAATGTTCGAGCCTTTGGCAGTAGTTTTTGCGTTACTTTTTTTACCTTACTTAAGTTTAACCAGAAAAATGGTTTATTTAGCAAGAAATGGGTTAAGATGAGTTTGTTTTGTTAAATAAGTTGTCGCTCAATCATTTAAAGTCCAATAATGATAATCCAGATGCGCTAATGGAAAGTTTTTAAATTGAATTGAACTAGCAATCATTAAAGAATTGAATTAGTGAAAGAACAATGATTGTTAGTGATTCCATTCGCGAAATATCGAAGCACAAAGTTCTCTGGTCAATGTCCAAGATCAACGGAACTATTGCTAAATTGAAAAAAGTATTTGATCCATGGTGTGGGCCAACAATTTTCGTGCACAAATATTAAGTTGCCTCTTTCTTACTCTTACGGTCACAGAAAAAGATCGGTTTAACTTAAAATTGATCTAAGCTTTTTTGCAGAAACATGAATATTTATTTCAAGTAATAAAGTGCATTTTCTCGTTAGTCATCAAAAGGTTCGTCATTGAAATAATTTTTATGAAAAAATTTGCTTCCATAATTGTACAAACAGCGATCGAAGTTTCAACTTTGAACTCGATTCTTTCGAAATCTGTTCATCAGAGAAATCTTTAAATCACACAAATGGACTCAGTTTTCATGTACCTACAAGCTAACAGAGTTTAAATTGTAAAGAAATTTATTTTAACCCGTTTTGATCATTTGCGGCAATTCGTGCATAAATGTGACAATTGTGTTGATTGTGTCTTTTCAGCAGTAGTATCCAGTTACCAATTTAACTGTTGATGGTCCCAATGAGGTTGAAGTGTTCGAAAGACTTCAACTGGACTAAAAATTCATGAAGGAACATGGCAATATGACTACATGTATCAGTTTTAGATGGACAAAATCGTTAAATTTATTCATCATAAGAACGCATTTTTTAGTTATGAATACAAATAAATTGGTAATTTAGAGTTGATAAATACGTGAAAGTATAACATGAGAAACCTTCACAAAATTGAATAAAATATGTTATTTTCAAGTCGATTTGACTAAAGTGCTTCCGAGTTTCTTCGGTTTTTGAGTTTTTTTCTTCTTAGCATTCTCTACCTGCTTAAAAGCTTGAAGACTACGAAATATGATTATACCGTTAGCTTCGTTTGAATTTAAGATCAGTCACGAGGCATTTATAATATTCAGAGTCAAACTTCTGAGCATATCCTTGGACCTGTTAGCTCTATTTGGACGAGAAATCCCTCAGAATAAACTTTTGCTTTAAAGTGACTGCAAACCCGTTTCAATTGGTCTAAACTCAATACAAATACAAATACAGAACTACAATATCTAATTGAATGCTGGGAGTTTACTTGATCTGTTTAATTTTTAAAGATTAAAAATCCATAATTTATTTGTCTTTCAATTCTCATCAAATTATTACTTTGGATCAGATTCATTGAGTTTCTTTAGGATAAATAATTGGATTTGAGGATGGCGCCAGTAAAGCTGCTAAGTTACCCACCAGGTAACACTCCACCTAACAGCCACATTTTAGATTCGGCTGACTGAATTATTGTTATTATTATTATTTGTTGTTACTAATTTGATTATGTTCCAATGTTGCCTGATTTATTGAAATTCCGAATGCTTTGATTGTTGTGCTTTACACTATTATCATGGCTGAACAAGAGCAAAGTGAAGCACCAACTTTCGGCCGTCTTCTGGAGCGCAATGTTATCTATTTGTATGAACAATTTGTTAAACTGATTGAAGGACGTGGTAAAAGTTCTCGCAGTCCGTTTGTCACCTCATTATGTGTCTCTCTTGTCATTATTTATCTTATCAACCTGTTAACCAGTGATTGGGGAACCAGTGATACCAGTAATCGAGTTGTCCCCGAAGCCAATACCGAGTTTTTTTGGACAAACTTTGATTCTCCTATAACTGAAATGTTTACTTTAACGCCGGGTAATATTTTATCTCCACGATTCTGGATCTGGTCAGCTATATCTACCATCACATACCCTCTAATTGAACTTCATTGGTGGCAAGTTTTGAACGATGTGATTGCCATCTATTTAAGCTCTACTCTTATTGAGCCCTTATGGGGATCCAAAGAATTATTTTCATTTTTTCTCATCATCAACCTTTCGGTTGCCTTCTTAACCACCAGCCATTACATAATACTCTATTCCATTTATGGTTCCGATGAGTATCTGTACAATGTTAGACTTTATGGATGCTCAGCATATTGTGCTGCTATATGTGTCTCTGTTAAACAATTATTACCAGAATCTGTCCTCATTGGAACACCTTTAGGAAAATTTAAAAACAACAATGTGCCTCTAGCTGCTTTATTTCTTTCCCTAATTCTTTATGCGCTAAATATCATTGAAAGTAGCCTGGTTCTTATGTTTTTCTACGGATTTATAGTCAGCTGGATTTACTTACGATTCATTCAAAACCATCCAAATGGACACCGAGGAGATCTCTCTGATGGCTTTTCATTTGCGTCTTTCTTCCCAAATGTGCTGAAACCTGGTGTAGCAATTGTCTCTAATTTTATTTATTCATTTTTCGTGGCCATTCGATTGTGCTCACCGATAGACGACAGACAATATCAACCTTTACGAGTTTTAGGAGAAAGATTAAATCAAGAACACGATTCTCAACAAGTACCAATGAGAAATCACAAATTTAAACATCATCAAAGTGGAGATTATCAATATCTATCGCAACCAATGAATGTCTGATTATTTTAAGTAAATCATCTGAAAATATCGTTTTGCCGCCTTCAGAATGCTTAAAGTTTATCAAAACAACGAGAAAACCTCACAAATTCGACTTCAATGACTTTCAACTTGTCAAAGAACCTGCACATGCAATCAACAGATTTGGATACGTAAATCACTAGACTAAACAAAGATAATGCACAACAGAGCTAACTTGATCTACTTTTCTACTATTACTACTCATTTAAGAGAATCAATTTTTCAAATAGTCTAATTCTTTGCCAAAACAACAGTCACAATTTTTAAGCAACAAATCAGTTTTTATTGTTAATAATAATGCATAAGGTGATATCTACACTGTGTCTGGTTGATTTTGGACCTTCCATACTTAGTATTTTGGTGTTACAAAGAGAAAAGTAAAAGATTTTTCTATTGGTCTGATCGGTTCAACTTTTTTTATTGGTTAATATGTAATATGTTGTTTAATAAAATCACCGTCTAGAGAACTGAAAAGTTCACTTGAAGGCCTTCTTAATCCAAATTTGAGTTTCAAAGAGGAACGCTCCGATTAATTCAGATTAATGAAAATAATGAAAATTTGTTTTTGCTGTCTTTTGTGATAAAGTATGCAGTATTGATAGCATCTACTAGTAATCATGGTAATGCAGTATAAAAATATATTTTGAAATATTAAAAAAACCAGAATTATGTAGATGACAATCTATTATTATTATATTTTATGTTTATTATTCAAATCGCCCAGTTATCAAAATACTTGAGTCTAAATTATTATACAACCGATGAATTTAGATGGTAAAATTTACAATTTAATGCTCGATAGAAACATAACTTCCGATTAATTAATGTAATTGTAAATATTAAAACCAAATAAATGACATAACAAGTTTTATGAACGTAAACCATTAAATAATCTTGCACTTTCTCTATAATTTATGTTAAGCATCGACTAGAAATTATGTTGTCGATGACTCTGATCCTGAAGATGCTGATGACTGGTTTTCGACTTGATCTTTTTGAACAACGTTTTCAGAGTTTTCCTTATGCTCCTTCTTGGGTTGCCTGATTGATTTTAGAGCATCACTTTGTTTAACTTTTCGGGCTGGGATAACATTCATAAATGATTGAGACCAAGCAATACCGTTGGTAGCGTTAAGCATTATTTCAAAGACATGATTAACAGCAAGAACTTTAGAGACACATAGCTCCATACATTGGTCAATTGGTAGTCGAGCTGTTTGAATACCCGATTTTTGAGCTAAACCAAGAGTCAAACCCTTATGAACATTGTGGTCAACTAAACCTCCGATGATGTAAGCATAATCACCTCCTCTTTTTTGTATCTCGGCTACATCAGGTAAAAGATTGGGAGAGTCACTTGACAAAAATATTAACGTTCCTTTTTCTTTGAAATCTTTGAAAGCGTCGAGAAAATGTTCCTCTTTTCGATGGATGTCCCAATAATCGAAACCTGGTTGCTTTGACATCAATCCTTTAGCAATTTCATCTTTCAATGAAGTCAAATAAAGTTGACATGGAGCATCAGAGCGTCTATTTAATGAGTAACACCTTTGGATTTGTTTCATCAATTTCCTCAATTCTTTTTCATTCATCATGGAGTTGAAGCTCAAATCAATAGCTATGTTTACCTTATTAGGTGATTCAGACATAGTTAAACGAGGCTTCTTCTCTGATAGATTGATACCCAGTGTTTCTTTCAGTTCTTTCCTTTTAGCCTTTCTCTTCTGCTTTTGAATTTTGCGTTTCTCAATTTTGGTTTCATTATAAACCTTGTTCTTCAGCATTCTTTTGAGCGTCTTCTTGGAATATTTTTTCTCTTTTATTTCGTCCAATGACAATCCTAATTGATCAGCAATAACTTTAACTTTACCTAAAGCTTTTTCCTCGTCACTTGTATCACCCATATTAGTCCAGAAATATGGTTAATAAGCTTCCGTAAATGAAATTGTGATATATAGTCGGTGCAAAGAAACAATAATGCTATGAATGTAATGAAAGAAAAGATAAATGTAAATTAAAAAGTACTGTTTGAGTATTTATTTTTTTACACAACTTACCTTTACAAAAGGGGGTTCATTAAAACAAAAAAAAATATTGAATTTCAGACAATCACAATAATAAAAAAGTTTTAAAATAAGACTTAAATAAGATTGCAGTTTTACACTTTAAATATGAACGGTAGATAATGTTAGCTGCTGATGCATGGCTAGTTGCTAAGCTGGTCCAATCACATGTTGAACAGGTTTGTCAACAAACCCTGGTAACCGCTTATTTAATTTTTATTTTTTATTGATTGTTTATGTTTTTGATTGAAATCTAAGATCAATCTTCGGTGAAAATACGAAATTTATCCCTTCGAATAAATTCAAACCATATTTTGACATATTACTGAATCAAGTGAAATAAATCATGGATCATTAGGAAGTGATTGTGAAGTTCATGTGATTTGTTGGTTACATCTAAGGTTACAATCTTCATTACTAATTATTTTTAATCTGTTTTTATTAGTTTCATTCACTATTCCTCTTTTAAATAATGCAACAACCCTCAATCAGAGTAAATGAAGTCTAAGACATATGCAAAACTAATTACACTTCCAGTATTTTCTATAATGATATATGTTTGCTATAAACTCCTACTAATTTACTGGACTTGAAATTATCGGTGAATTAACAGCCGTTCTTTTTTATCTTTTCCAGAGGGACTTTTACGAGAAAAAAAACAGCCAGGAATATTTCATTAATCTTAGCTTAAGGCTATGGCTTTATTCCGGAGCTCAAACTATGTAAAAGGTTACATATTTCCAGTCCGACCAATTGTGGCCATTGACTATTATCTTGACGATACTGTTTTGGAGAGGATTCGCAAAAGTATATCAATTAGATCATCACCAGAAGAAGCTAAAAATAAAATTGAAACGCTTAAAAACTGTAAGCCATTGATAAAAAAGATCTTAGAGTTACGCCCGTTGAAAGAAAATCTGGTCACAACAATGGGTGCTATTGAAGATAACATTGGAGATGTCAATACCTATTTCACTCATGTACGTCCTGATCAATCCCACTTATCTAAAGATTTAGAGGAGCTCGAAAAGGAGTTAGGCTCATTAGAAGACCAAGTGATACCTATCCTCTCTAAATTACCCAATGAAATTGACGAGGATGTCTTAAATGAGCCAAGTGGAGATATTTTCATAGTTGTAGATGAAGTGAAGAAATCTCGTCCCTCATTTAAATTGATAGATGCTGTTAAATTATCTTATCTTAACTTTGGTCAGCATACAAGTATCATTGGTCCTGCATCAAGATTTATTACAGCTGATGGTGCTAAACTCTATATTGCCTTAATCCGTTATTTCTCCGAATCGCTGTTGAATGCAGATTATATTCCTTTTGTTGGTCTTGATTTTGTAAAATCAGCAATCGTTGAAGCCGTTGATCTTGAGCGTAGTGACCAAATTTATACCGACCCTTTATTGGTTGCTCAAGGAGATGATTCAGAATCTTTAAATAATTTTATTCATCTGGCTGGAGAATCATCATTTGAAGCTATCGCCAGTATGTTGAACAGACGAGAAATCAATCCTGATTCTTTACCTATCCGATTTTCATCCATTGGCTCAAATTATACATCAACATTAAGTCAACATCATACAATTAATTGTGTCATTTTAACACCAAATGATCTGGATCAATCAGTTCAAGAGACACAATCTGTCATATCTTTCTTTTGGAATCTATACAAAAATCTTTCTATACCTTGTAGATTAATCAAATGCTCTGGCAAAATGTTAAAAGCTAATGAGTCTAGTCGTTACGAGATCCAAGTTTGGATACCAACATCATCAACCTGGAAGACAGCCGCTCATGTTAGCAACCATCGTGATTATACGACAAAGAGATTAGGTCGAGAAGGTTATGCAATTGTTAAAGGCACACTAGTTGATTGTGACACTGTAGTGACCTCTTTGATGGAAAATAATCAGAAAGAAGATGGGACATTTGAAATTCCTGAATTACTTCAAGAACAATTGGTTCCCAAGTTTATGTGAAACAATAAAAGATGTTTGTAGATTGGTTACTTTATAAATGTTTTCACTATTGAATAGTTAATATTGATCATTTTTACGAATAAATTCAAGTATTATGTCTAACTAAATTGAATTATCGAGAGATTATAAGAAATTGCATCTTGAATCCTTCCTGATTCTGTTTAAATAATTGATACTTTTTAGTAATTAAGTTTTTTCAATCTTGAAAGTACAAATTTTGTGGGTTTACAATGCAGGGTGTGCTTTTTTGGAGATAAACCTCATCGGCTTGAGATTTGTTTTTAGGGTAATCGAATGTTGTACTAATATTATATTGTTCTAAAAAAGCGCGAATCAAGCACACATATGATCAATGATACAAGTTAATAGGAAAACCATTTGTCAAAAAAAACATTTAACAAAGAAAGAGGAAAACGATTAATTTACATTAACTTTACATATGCATGATACTTTTAAGATAGATTGTTTTAACATTGTCATCATTCTATTTATATATTTTATAGATGTTTCTCATAAAAATGAACTAAATGAGAGAAAATAAGAATCAAGGTGGTAATTAACTCGGTTTTAGCTACATTTATTTATATCAACGATGATTGCTATGGTCGAAATAATGACTCAGATTATGTTGACTGGTGAGTTCATGAACTGAGATACCAGGACAGTTATTGAAAAGACAGAATTACGTGTTATCCTTGAGTTTCCTGAATAAAAATATCGGTCGGCGAAAACCTGTAAGCAATAGATAAAATAGAAAAATTAGATTAGAACAAACTCAATTTTTTTCATTTATACTTTTCTCGTTAAAATAAAACTCATACCTTTCGATGCATGTTCAGGTATATCCACAAGCTCCAATGTACTAAAACCAACTTCTTTCGATAAAAGATATTCATTGAAATGCTCTGGTTTGAACTTTATTGACCAGTAATTGTTTAGCGTGCATTCCTGTAAAATTTGAAAAGATTATCAGTATATGTATTCAAAACATGATGAATTCGCAATTCACGATTACACCTAAGAGTGAAAGACACTTAAGTCGATGTTTTAAAGGATTAAGAGTTTTCCCAGTTAAAGGATCCAATATGGCCAGTTAAAAATTACTAATATGTTAATTTCAGCAGAATTTGTATTTAATTCACCACCTTGATAACAAAAAAATTAACATTTGATCATAATTAATTAATCTGTCATAATTCATACTGCTGAGTTAGATCAAACGTCATTGATTTAGTTGAAGATCAAGTTATAACCTAGTTCGGATAATAGTACTTTCTATTCAAACCTAATTCTTTCGACTTTCAAACATAGGTATTATCGTGAATTGGCATAGAACCGTATTTACATAACATTTCAAACTAAAAAGAGTGGGATATTAGCTTATATTCATAGCATTTATATTAATGATTTAAGTCAATTCGATGCGATGTAATGAGCCAAAGGCATGAAATATTTGCGAGGCAATTTAACGAAATGTTTAGTTTGAATTTCAGTACAATGGTATATACCAATGAAAAAAATTAGCCAAGAATGAATGATGTTTAAGGTTATGTTGTGAGAGATACATTGGAAATTAGCAGTAATGGGAAAGCAAATCGGAAGTTTAGTCAATCATGATCAATTACACAAATTTACAAGTCTATCCAAAATTTCATCATCTAAAATAAACTTATTTCATCATTTTCAATAGTCTAAGGATAACAATGAGTGAAAGAAACTAACTGATGCATTGTTGATATGTAAAAGATTAGTTTTACAAGAACAAAATATTTTACATCAATCTTCTACTTATTATATTATTCAAGAATAAGTTTTACAAGCTTATTTTTTCAATTAAATTGAACTAAATTAATAAAAAACAATGGAGAAAAATTCTACACAATAAAATATGGCAACAAGAAAAGAAATGGCAAATTAAATAAACAAAAGAGCTGTTTTCTTGAAGACCATGAGCGGTGAAGTAAGTTTATACACTATTTAGTAAGAGGATAGTGTTAATTGATTGAATAAAAATAGAAAAAGAAAAATCTACCTTAATTACTAAGCTAACTTTTTAAAATAAGCTATTCTTTGTTTCCAATGTATTTTTTGGCCGATTTTTATGATTGCAAATCATTCGGAGTTTAGTTGAAAGAGGAAGAAAAACTGTGAAAATAATACTAAAGCATTCCTACAATGATTGTATTATGTAAACAACGGTCATTAAAATTAGTGAAAATACTTACAGAAATAAACTTCTTCTTTTTATAAGAGCACCATGGCTGAGCTTCGAGAATCAATTTCCCACCAGGCCTTAATTGAGCGTACATACGTTTAAATGCTCTTTTCAAACCATCATCTCCGAAATTGAGATGAATCCATTTGGTTACGCTCAAACAAAGGATACAATCATATTCAGGCTTTTCTTCTTTCAGGAGATCATCAGAATCGAGAACAAAATTATGGCAAATAAATTTAACGTTTTTAGGGAAATATAAAGGCTTGGTAAAATCTGGTATTTTTTTGGTTGTTGAAGTGTCAGAAGAGATTTTCGACTGAGTTTGTTCTTCACTAGCTGCATCTAATTGCGATTGTGTCGATGTAATATTTACGTTGGATTGCTGAGGTAAATTAGAAATAGATTTTGGTGAGGCTGGTGGCGACTTTGGATGATTTAAAGTAGCTGAATTTTCTTCAGATTGTTTAGTTTGAGAATTATCATTATCTAATGATGTCTTATTTTGTTGAATTAAACAGGGTGAAGGTTGATCAATTGTACAACTTGATGATTCTTTTTTGATATCAACCGATTCTTGTACTGTCGTCGACGTAACTGAAAGTGAAGATTTAGATGGAGTAACATCTACATCAAGACAGGGCTTCTCGTCAATATTTAAAACAGACTCAGAGGTTGATGGTTGATTCTCTTTGATAGATTCGGCATTAGTTGTGGAATCAACATCGGTAGAGATATTAATGGGCGCTGAAAGAGATTCTTTGGGGGACTGAAGGCATTCAGTAGATCCAGGTTGTTGAGGTGAGTCAGTTTTAGTTTCGTCTAAGTTTAAATAGTTATCATTATCCTTTTCAACATTTGTTTGAGATAATTCAACATTGTTTCCAACGATAGTCTCTGAAGATGACGCATCAGGATTTGTTATGTCACGCTTATTTTTATTCAGAACTTCGGTATCCAGTCTTTTTCTAGAAGAGTTTTGATTAATGTTGACATAATGTTTAATATTACGATTTGCTGCTTTAATCAGGTTTTCATCAATATCGATCCCAACAATTTGCTTGGGATTGAAGTCACGAGCTATTGTTAAGGTAACGTGGCCAACATTGCAACCTATGTCCAAAATATCTTGGTCTTCAAACCATTCTTCCTTGAAACACCGCAACCTAGGGTCTGTTGTTAGATTTTGATTACGGTAACCATAGTATCGATCATAATTTCCATATTGAAATTTTGCATCTTTAGGTCTAAACTTGTGTTGCATCTGTTGATGTTGAAGTTGTTGACGTTGACGATGATAAGAATAATGGTGGTAAGCGTGCGATTGGTTGCGGCCCGATCTAGGGTGCGATGGTCGTGAATGATGGTGGTGAGAATGATTATTGGAAGCTCTTGTTGCATTTTTTTCACCTTCTTTTGTTGGTTTTTTGAACATATCTGCTCCTCGATCCGATCCTCGATTAGAACCAGTCCCTTTATTTCCACGATCGATCTCTTTCTTATTAGACGATGTTTTAGGACATTTACTTGGTATCACAGATTCATCGTGCTGATCATTTTCCGTACCATTCACTGAACCAATCTCGTTGGGTTCGTTAGTGGACTCTTTGTTGGTGGAATAATCTTGTTTATTCTTGTCATCGATGTAAGCTGCACCATCTCCAATGCCACCAGGCTCATCGTCCACAGTTGTCTCTGAATCGGTTCGTTTTCGCTTTCTTTTACGACTTTTAATGATTTTACTGACCGGAATTGGCGAAATCGCTTCGGGATCACTCGAGTTTAAATTTAAGGGGTCGTGTAAATTAACAGGAATTAGAACTTCGACTTCTTTTTTGTGTTTAGGCGTGGGAAGCGGTGATGACTCGGGAGTAACTTGATCAATTGCCCCAGAGAAAGAGGCTAAATTCAATGGATCATGAATATTTCCTCCAAGAAGAAACTTGGTTGGTAAAACAATATCATTTCGACGTTTCCTTTTGTTATTATTATACCTTCCACCACCACTGTTTAGGGTGTAACGTCTTTTGGGTTTAACTTCTTCATCACAATTAACTACGACATTAGCATTGGCCAGTGCCATTGGAAACTGTAAAGGAACACTAAAGGGGTTCAATTTGAGTAAATTAGAGTAATTAAAAGTTAATAAAGATGCGGGGGAAAGACAAGATAAATCAACACATTATAAGGAAAGACATGTATTTTCATCAAAGCTTAGGTTAAAAGTGAGAAGAAAATTTTCTTTCGTATTCTTTTCAGTCTCGGCTGGCTCAGCCATGTTTACGTAAAACTTGGTAACACCAGCTGAAGATCGATGCATCGAAAAGCACAAAGAATTTAAATCTTCATCAATTCAAATACAGGTGATTGATCTAAAATTAATCAAGCTTTTTGAAGGATTTTCTAACAATTTGTAAACTATATCTTAATTACTTGGTCTACTTATTGCTTCTCCTATTTGTCTACTTAAGTATTATTGTATTTATTTAAATCAAGTTACTTAGTGACTAATCATAGTAAGCTGTAATCCATTGTGTTTCTTGTTTCCTCTTACAATCTTTATCTCAGAATGCTACTTTGTTGGATTAGTCTTATAGCTATTTACGCACATTTTCACCGAAAATGGCTTTTTAATAATTAACTGTGCATCAAAGTTTATTCGTAATTAATAATCAAATTGACCCAACTTTGATAATTTATGCATTTACTTGTATCGTAACACCGCACTTCAAGTGAATCACTCTTAAAGACACAATTTTGTGACAATAGAAGCGCAAGTCTGCTATGTAATAATCTGGATTTAGCAAATTTTTTCATTCTTATGGGAATTTTCAAAAATTTAACCCTAGAAATGACTGTTTTAATAATGCTTAATCGGTCAATTAACCTTTTTCACCTCCTCCATTCAAATAAGACAGAATCAAAGAGTATACCTCCTCCATGCAAATAAGACAGAATAAAAAATGGAAACTTCCTTCATTTATTGTATTCAAATTGAATTTGGCGCTTGTGGTGTCTCTTATTGAAAATGAACATTTATGATTTTTGTGGCTGATTATGTTTTTTAAGTACACTAGTTTCACGGAAAAATTAATTTTTGATAAACACTATCTACTAACGTAATAAGCTTAATTATACCATTGGTAGTATAATAGACGTCGCTTATCGAAGATTAACTTATGCATGAAACTAGTGCATTAATATAACGACGGTCCATGGATAAACTACTGTAATCTGTACGGCCTTGTCAGCTTTTTTTAACAAAAATTAAAGTTCATTTTTGCTCATTGAAACTTCATTTCAATTGCGGATTCGATTGATTCGTTTGTTTTTATTTACATCAATTATTTAAAAAAATGTTTTCGTCATTCGAAAAGGTTAACATAAACGAGAGAACGTCAATGATAAAATATTGATTATCCTTTAAGAGAGATTAGGATTAAAAGTGTGAAAACAAATCCTAGTGACCAAATAAGCAGCGCTGTGTCACTGACAAAACATAATGAGTAGGACAAAGTAGTGTATGATCTGAATAAGCCTACAAGAGCTCGAAAAGGATATAATTAAACATCAAGCCTTTTCAAATCTTTGTGGAGTTGATTCGTCCATATTATCATCAAGACTGGTCTCACAGGGTCAAGTTAAAGAAGATGATGTTCCATGGACCTGGGACAGTTTGATTTCTGAAGTTGCATCTTACATTGAGAGGAAAGATGACGAGTAACTAAGGCTCAAGTAGACGACACTAACCAATTTAGATGAGATTATTGATAAAGAATCATTAAAATAAATTGAGAATCGTTTAAGGAAACTTACTTGCTTGAAGATCCTCAAAAAATTATAATCTTATGATAAAAATGACCGAATTTCAATTCCTAAAACTTGCCATGACATTCTGTGAATGATTTGGGATAATCTTTCGTATTCAAGATCATCAGTATCAACAATTATTCTGGAGTTAATCTTTTTCTTGTGAATGTAAACATTTACATTTCTCGAGTTATAAGATCTTTTTACATGTTATCGTTACAATTTATTGGTTACCGAGATCGCTTCATCGAGGGCCTTTCCTACTTTCGTTTCGAGGGTACAGGGTGATCGGAAAGTTTCTGGTGTGATTTGATGATTAAATGCGGAAACAGAGCTAGACAGCAAATCATTAAATTGAATAGAATATAGAATCCTTACTGTCAAGATAATATGGTGAAACAAAATATTGTTGAATTCAAACCATCGATTTAGACACAAATGGTAACGAAAGGTGACAACAAAAGTCTAATTCCCCGAATCGATTGGCAAAACTTGGTCTTTGAAAGAATCACGTCTGGTGACCTTTTAAATTGGATTGAAGAATATGGTTCCGATATTTTATTTCAGTTTGATAGCAAAGGTTATGCACCCATTCATTGGGTTTCAAAATTTGGTAAATTGGTTGCACCAAACTGACTGTGAAACAATTTTATTAATTTAATCTCTTCCTCTTAACCAGGTTTACATGATATTACCACAACTCTATTGGAAAATGGTGTTTCAGCTTCCACTCCGGCTGATGTAGTTTGTGGGGCCCAACCAATTCATATAGCATCTATGGAGGGTCACACTGAGGTTATTGATGTCCTTTTAAGTTATGGTGCCGACGTAAATGCTCGAGATAAGTTGAGTTTTCTAACCGTTTTAATTCAAGCAATTTATTAAAATTTAGCTTTCTTTTCTCAGGTATAAATGTACACCTTTAATGAGAGCTGTAATGACTGGTTCTCATCATGTCCGCAATTCCAGAACCATTTTACATCTTTTATGTCGTGGAGCTGATCCATATCTCTTTGACGGAAATAAATTCAGTGTGCTTCACTATGCTACACTGAAGGAGGATTTAGAGGCTGTCAATTTATTCCTAAACATTGGTGTTAATCCAAATTTACGATCACAAATTGGCGTCAAATCTCTCCATATAGCTTATTATACTGGCAACTATCAAATAGTTAAACGTCTAGTTATCGCTTCCAGTGTTTCACCGTATGCGATATATTCATTGCATCAACGACAATTTCGAGCAAATAAAAGTATAAAGAGTTTATTAGCAGATATTTATAATTATGGAGCTAGTTTCTTCATGGTCATTTGGTTCCTCAGTATTTTGGTTTTTATGTATCCTGCTTATGTTTATGATTTGGTACCAAACTCTATGGAGTATGTTAAATTGCATGTTGTACTGTTGGCATCAAGTGGACTCGATTGGGTATTATGGTATGCGACTTGGGCAACCAGGTCTTATGTTCAGCCTAATTCACTAGAATATAAAAAAGTATTAGAAGCTAAATTAGTATCTGCATCGAAATTGAAAGAAGAAATTAAGAAAATTAGTGAATCAAAGTCTAAAGAAAGAATCAAATTACCTGGGATTCCTTATTTTAGTGTTAAACTTTGCCATACATGTAAAATTATTCAAGAAATAGGAACAAAGCATTGCTCTTATTGCAATCGATGTATTGCCAATCATGACCATCATTGTATTTATTTAAATAATTGTATTTCTTCTTACAATAGGATTCTTTTTATTGCATTAACTTTTAGTTTAGCGGTAACAGGATCGAGTCTTATTATTATACTTTACATTAGCTTGCAAAAAACGAATTACAAAGTAAATTGGAGGCAATTTGGATTGTTTCTGCTTGCTCTCAATTTATGTTTCAACGGTGGACTTATGTTGGTCCATTCAATTATAAAACTTTTTAAAAATCTAGTTATTTAAGATATTAAATACTTCATGCCAGTGTTCCAATAAATCTGTCCGTTAATGATAACATAAAAATTAATCTTCTTCTTTTAAGTGAATAATTGCAACTTTTCTTGGAAAGTTAGCTTCTCAGGGCCAGCAAGAATTGTCTTTTGGGGTTGAGTTTTCATTTTTTCAGCCTCAATTCTTTCTCTCGGATCTTTATAAATTTCATTGGCGCCAATAACATTTGGACCATAACTTTTGAAATTATTAGGAGGAAAATTTTCATCGTCATCGTCACTTGGGTCATTTTCAATAGCCTCACTAATTTCTTCCAGCAATGAAGCAATTGATGGTAATTGAGGTGGTTGATGCGGTGTCTGATGTTGTGGTGGATCATGCGGTAAATGCTGTGGCAAATGCTGTGGTTGGTGGTGTTCATGATTCTGTAGTTGATGCTGTGGTTGATGTTGTGGCTGATGTTGTGGCTGATGTTGTGTTTGGTGCTGTGGTGGATTATGCGGTAAATGCTGTGGTTGATGCTGTTCTTGAAGCTGTGGCAAAAGCTGTTCATGATTCTGTGGTAGATGTTGTGTTTGACGTTGTGGTGGATTATGTGGTAAATGCTGTGGTTGATGCTGTGGCAAATACTGTTCATGATTCTGTGGTTGAGGTTGAGGTTGTGGCTGATGTTGTGTTTGATGATGTTCTTGATGCTCTAGTGGATGCGGCGATGGATTATTCGGGACATTCTGCGTCAAATGCTGTTCTTGATGTTGTGGTAAATGCTGTGACAAATGCTGAGGTTGATGCTTTTCTTGATGCTGTAGTTGATGCTGTGT